TAAGGGGAGGGAGATTATCCCGTTTTTCTCTCCCTGGCAACTCCTTGTCGCAAAGATAATCAGTATTAAATTATTAAATTTAGACAATTGCGGGTTAATAATTAATTAAGCATTTTTATGGGGTCTTCTTAAGAGGAACAAACGCTCGGTTGCCTCGTTTTATAGGAGAGAGCAGATTCGCAACGATCGATCCTCCGGCAATCGACGAGATCGATCAGCGGCTCGTTCTCGATACTTTCGATTGATCGAGGCATTCCGGCTCGGCGTTTATCATCGAAATTGAGGTACCCACCTCTCCGGGGCCTCCTCGTCACCGAGTCGGCAAATGATACAGCCAGCGTACGCGATATCATCATTAGATTGTTTTTTCCCCCCCTTAATCCGTTTCTTTTTTCACCGTTCGAGATTTCCAACCGTATCGCGAGGAGGCATTTCTATTTACCCTGAAACGAGCGCTCCAAAGAAACCCGGTCGTTACGAAACGTGCGAGGCTGGTCTTTGTCTCTCTTTTTTTTTTCTCTCTTTTTGCGCCAGCCTAAAATCCCCTTGAAAATGAGACTGAGGGAAAGCGATTGGATAATGAAATGACGATACGGCCAGCTTGCCGGAAAAAAAGGGGGGTTTCCTTTTTTATCTCCCATCGGAAATAATTTCAACGTATGACCCTCTTGGTTTCCATCGGCCCGTGATCATTACACCGATCGCATATAAATATTATATCACGTTGCAAGATGTTTCAACAATCTCGATATCATATCCTACGATATATCCGATATGAGACGCTACACAGCGATGTCGTACATTTGAGCCAGATATTTAAATTCATGCATTGATACGTATGATATTTAAATTAATCCAATCGATGGTGTGTAAATGTTGATAAATTATATTAATATTTATATTAATCTATGTTGCGTTCATGGAAAGTAGACGAGCAGTCCCCGCCTCGAATGGCCGACCTCGATGAAATTTGTTTACCGGAATCCCCCTGCCTCCACCTCTGGTGCTCCCGACAACAAACCCGTGGGAATCTCGTGACGTACCGTTGCACTCGGTGGAGTCGTTCTTGCCGGCTGCAAGTCGCGGTTTTGCCAACCGTGACTCGGAGAGGAACGGAGGATGGCAAAGTCGTATCGCCACTTTGGCAGACCCGATTCCTCCTCCCTTCCCGCGATGCATATTTTACCCGACTTGGGCTAATTCGCGCGATCGATCCCCTCTAATGACCCCTCATAACGATCCCTTATAACGACCCCCTCTAACGACCCCCAACTAACGTCGCCGTTAGATGCCCCCTCCTTCTCTCTTGATCCGCGATCGGCAATGTCGAGTCCGGCCACTCCGCTCGAGAGAATTCCCGCAATCTCATAAATAGAGTAACCTGTTGGTTCGGGTACTTTGCTCGTAATTAGTCCTCCCCTGACGCAGGTACACGCGCCTTTAGAAATTATCAATCAATTACTGCGTGGATCCTCGCCGGATCGATTTACACACGGGACACGCCGGACCTACATCCCTCTATTTGTTTAATCGGCCCACCGGACATCGTTGGCGTGATAAGACATTGCCCGGTAATTTTCTGAGACAAATTCTCGAGTCGGCTCGAGCGCCTCCACTTTGCGGCATCTCGTTGCATCTCATTAGATCGACGACTAGCGACGTTACTCCATACCAGATGGGGTAAATTAACCACTAAGATTTCCCTTTCAAATGTTCATACTCATACTTTTAGTAGCGTAGTGTAGGTAGTCCTGGGGGGTACAGGTATTAATTTAAATCCCCGATCAATTCTCACGTTTTGGGATAATTATTCATTAATTGTCATTTTTTCTTTTCTCGGTGTAGATGTATCGTAGAGATTCCTCAGGAAATTCGCTATTTTTCGGGGTTCAATGGGTTTAAGGGTACCATAGATGCTGGTTAATCTCGATTCTTGGGATTTACTCGGGTCCGTGGTTCTTCTTGTGCCGCAGGGAGAGCCAGACGCACGTAGATATGTCCTTCTTACCTCCGTGCCGCAATCCTCTTCTTGCCGCGCGCGGCTTTTGCCGTGATGGCGCCGTGCGCGAATAGTTGTCGCGTAAGACGGCTTGCGCAATAGAGATCGGCCTAGACAACGAGTCCGCTATGGAGGAGGTCCGATGACGGCCGAGCTGCAGGGTAAGATCGCGGCCCGATCGATAGATCGATCGGCGTAATCGACACCGAGAACTCGGCCGACCGTGGACCGCGCGGAATGCGTTCGGTCGAGTGTCCGCGTATCGAGACTCGCTGTAACTTATTTTTTTTTTTTTTTCTTCAAAAAACGCACTCTCCACTTGCATGCAAATCTCGGCGAGAAGGAGACCGATCTATGCTTCGAAAGAAAAACCTAGATAAATTTGAGGGAAATTCCGATTCTTTCGAGGCCTTGGGAATGATTTTTACGATATTTCTTAATTATTAATTTATTTCTTGGCTTATGTTTATAGGCCGTGGGGAGGAAGAAACTCCTGTTAGGTGCTCGCGAAACGTGTTATCGGTCGGAAATTGTTGTCGGATAATGAGGAGGCCTCAAGGGCTGTCATGCGTGTCAGGGTCACAACCCAAACGACTCTTCTTCACCTCCGGAGTCCGCCTCCTTGTCTCTCCTTTTTATCGCCTCGTCGGCTCCTTCGAGAGGCTCGCGAAACCCGGCTCCGCTCGCCGAGATAAAATGGAGACAGCAAGCAGGAAAAAGTCGGAAAAGGAAAAACTTAACCGCCGCCCACTCGTTCCCCGAGTTACTGGGAAAATTCTAATCGCGTCGATAGGTTCGCGCCGTTAAACTGGTTCCTAACGCGCCGCTTAACGAGAGCGTGAGAATCGACCGGTGGATTTCTCCCTTTTCCTCTTTTAGTTTCCTTCGAAGGGGAATGTCGATTTGCCCTGTCCACCTAGATAAAAACGCCCATGTAAATTTACATTGGCACAAAGTATCAATAGTTCGGCGCCCAAGTAAATGGCAGTAAAATGAAACTATCTCTGTGACATCACATTCGTCATCCATCCTAATGACAATCGTAATATGACATTGAATTAAATTAAAAATGCACTAGTTCGGTGAATGCGCAATGTCACGTATATTTATACATTTGCCTAATTCCTAATCTTCTCATTTCACGCTTTTTCACGTGAGATTTCAATCAGCTGTGTAAAAAGTGTCTTTGAAGTTCCATCGATTTTTCACCGCGTGGATCGAGCGGAGAAAATGGGAGGAAATGTAGGGGTTTCTAAATCATGTATCTTTAAATCCATTTAATGTTCTAATGTAACGGGTATATTTTTTCAATCTTACGATATCGATTGATCGGCCGGCAAAGATGGGAGGAAAAGAAAAAAATCGGGAAACAAAAAATTAGGGGACGCTTTCGCTTGTAACTTAACCTCGAAACGACCGGCGGAGGAGCTCAGGGAGTCGGAAGCGAGTTTCGCTTCTCGTTTTTTTTTTAAAAAAAAGGGGCCATTGTTCCCGCGGTTTCGGGGCGTCTTTTGCGACTCGGCTGCCACATCGAAGCGCCGCGACCGGCAGCCTTATATGTGGAGCGACTGCGGACTTCCGGCGCCGGGACGTGCGGTTTCCGGTGTCGGTACGTATCCAACGATCCGGGCCTCGCCTCGCGTGTATCGGAACGCGCAGTGAGGGTCCGTCTTTCGATCCGACAAGGCGCCGATCCAAGCTCGCGATCCGATCGGTCGATAAATCTCGAAAGTCGCGCGCAATCGGTGATAAGCAAAAAATCGATCTCGGTCTTGCACTATCTCCAGAAAAAAAAAAAAAAACAGAAAAGACTGAGGGGTCCAACATGTGCAAAACGTGCAACAGGACGGATATTGCTCGTCGCCACGCGTTAAAAACCGTTCCTTGGGTTTTCGATGTCTGATGTTAAATGTTAAAGTTAATATAGAGGAAGAAATTTGAAGGATCCGCGGTTCGGTCGACGTCGATCCAATCTTTTTCTCGTAGCCCTTTCCTCTCTTCGGTCGCGGGCTCGACGGAAACGCGTCTCCTGGGGGGAGGAAAGAAAATCGTTTAATGAAATATCAATTATCCATAGGTAGATCGGAGGCATCGAGATACCGCGACCCGTACGGCGCGTCCTGTCGATCTGAAATCGTGAGACTTCCGGTGTCGGCTCTCCGGTAGGGTCTCCTATATCGGCGGCTTCCGTTACCGGTTTTGATCGCCGGTTTAATCGAAACCGTGTGTTATTTGCGCTCCCCAGGAACAGGACAAACATGAAGGATTAATCACCGAAGGCCCGATCGGAATCCCCGATGCGTTGCATCGATTCAATCCGGTATCGGTTAACGTTCGGACCGCATCGATATTCGCCGGGTTTCGTTTCAACTTGGAGAGTAAAAAGGAAACTTAATTACCGAACGGGCCGATAGCCAATAACATTTCGATCCTCCCTCGCCGATACGTCCCGAGGACCGGTTTATCACCTAGGGACTTACGATTTCCCTCGAACCAGGAGGTGTCGAGAAACGCTATCAGCGATCGTACCTCCAGGTCGGGCCGAAAATCCCATAACTTTGCCGGCCCCGTTCTCACGACTCGGTCTTACGGAGGCGCCTCCACTCTTGCTTCTGTGCTCCCCGAGTTATGCCGTCCTCCATTAGAGCCGAATAGGTGTAGACTGCGATCGGCATATATCCGTCCTTGGTGCTCCCCTGTCGGCCATTCCGATCCGCCGAAGTATTTGCAATTTCGCGCGATTCCACGTTATGAAATACCACGGAGGGAGATCTCGGCGTGCCCTCGGAGGTACTTTGCATACGAAATGACCCGCGCCCCTGTTTATGGATTTTCCCATATTTCCATCCGGCTCCTGGCACCTTCCTTCGTCCAAATACCTCGAGACGTGTCTCATCCTCTCCCTCTCTTCCCTGGAAGACGTGTAAAAAAATATATATATAAAACCTCGTGAAAAATATTTTTAACGGAATTAACGGAATTATTCTTTATCCTCTTACAGCACCCAGATCCTCCAGCGCAGGGACCAACAATCTGCCGCCCCTGACCTTCCACCAGGTACATGGGGATAATATCCGCCTCCTCCAAGGTGGCACCATCGCCAGGAGACACGAGAGCTTCTGCAAGGGTGTCACCTTCAGCGCAAGGCCCGTCCGAGTCGGCGAGAAGGTGAGAGGAAGACGTTTTACCTATTGTCGAGGGGCCACTTGTCGACGTTAATTCCGGTTTTGCTTGATTGCACTTTCCGGACAATGGACGTTAACGAGGGCCTCTCGGCGTAGCTGGGGCAGTTCCGTGCATAAATTCGCGTTATTAAATTTCGAGGACGGCATTCTTGGTCGCATGCAAATACCTGTTGCCTCGCTATCGGAGCTCCCGATCAAGTCGTACCGGAAAACTAATGTTCCAACGAGCAGTCCCCCCTTAATTACTACCGTCTTAATGAACCGCGACTCGATGCGATCGGTGGGACGCACTTGGCGATAAATAATCATCCCCCGTCTCGGGATTTAATGCACCGCTGATAGCGCCTTATTAAAGCCCCGGGAAAAATCGAGAACGCGTTATCAATAATCCCGACTGAACGTGGATTTATTCCTGGCGCCGTGTTATCATTCATCCGCGTCGACCTTTTGTCGGAGTTTGAATGGTCTCGAGATACCTAATCGAGGGATTATTGCCGATTTCCGAACGACCCTGAAGAGCCCACGTGGTCGCGTGGGTCGCCGATTTAGCGTCGCCCCATGTGGATGACGATCGTTGCCCTTACACAACGTCTTCAGCCTTGTTTGGATGGACACAGGGTCGGCTTGATTCACGTGACTTGATCTCTCAAATCACAGTTTATACATCTTAATCGGGAAAATGGTCGCTCTTCGCCGCTACACTCACGGGAACTATTGGGGACGCTCGAAAACCTTGAAGAATGTGTGTAAAAAAATCGATTCGTGTATAAAATCCCAGTCTCGATGTTTGACTTGGGATGGAATTGCTATATTTCGGCTTCTTGGAGGAATCAAAAAAATTCCCCATTTTCGATCGAGGTGTCAATCGTTGGTGCTCTTGGTATCCCCTGGTTGGAGTGTTTCTTAGGACGTTCCACCGGCCCCGAGCGTACACACGTAGAAGAGTAATCGGCAGAATAAGTGGGCGATGTCGGTCATTCTGCGGCACGCTAGAATCGAGATTCTAGCCGGTCCTGGACGGCGTTTAACCGAGGAAATTCGCTCTTCCACGATCGGGAGATCGACGTGGGCGAAAAGGCCGCGCGGCATCCTCCTACGACTAAGAGAGCTTTCGACAGAGATGTCGCCGCAAAGGTCGAGTCTAGGTGCCGTTCCGATTTCGAGAAGTCGTGGGACGGATTCCATACACCTCGCTTAGGCATAAAAATTCTAATTAACACGTCTGGCCGGTGGCTTAATAAAAATCATCTCCGTTTAAATCGCCTGGATTGTTCTCACCAATGGGGCCCACGTTCGAAGGCAGGGCGTGGGGCTCGTTAACGCACCGCGAAATGTCCGAATTCCCTTAATTTGCCGATCTCGTTACGCATATTAGCGGGGATGTCGCGACGTCTGGTTAAAAAATGAAAAATACGATTAAGCGATGATTAAAGTATTATTAATTATTAATTATGATCGGGATATACTAGGTTGTACCTGGGTTTAATTAATCCCTTTCTTCCAGGTGTGCGTAAAGTTCCTGGAGATCTCCGACAACTGGAGCGGGGTGATCCGATTCGGGTTCACCAGCAACGACCCGATAAACCTGCGAAACGGCCTGCCGAAGTACGCCTGCCCCGACCTTACCAACAAGCCCGGCTACTGGGCGAAGGCCCTGGCCGAGAGGTTCGCCGAGCGCGACACCGTCCTCTTCTACTACGTGACCTCGGCCGGCGACGTCCACTTCGGGGTCAATGGCGAGGAGAAGGGAGTCTTCTTCAGCGGGGTCGAGACCAAGGGGCCCCTCTGGACGATCATCGACGTCTACGGGAACACGACCGCCATCGAGCTCGTCGACCCCAACCGGCAGCACTTCAACAACATCCGCAGGAGCGCCGAGCACAGCAACGAGGACAATGCCCAGCACAGCAGGCACTCGGCGATGGACGACGCCAGCAACGCTGGCCGAGACGTCGAGAGGATCGTCGTTCCGTCCATGCAGAGCATGTCCATCCATCACGAACCCGACGTCGACCTGCCAGGTCTGAGGTTTCAACCTTCAGGGGTGCTCTTCGCGCCGCTACCCTTCCACCCGTAAGTATATTAATATATATGAATATATAGCGATATATGGTAATATATCAACAACTTCAGGGTACCGCATAATTACCGAGGTCATCTTCATAGATAATGAGTCTCTAATCACCTGCTTCCTCGTTCTAGGACCCGGGGCAGGAACATCCGCTTCAGCAACCAGCAGTGCGTGGCTACTCGCAGCGACACGGAATTCTGCCATGGGTACGCGTTCACCAGCAGACCCCTTCTTCTGGGCGAGCGCCTCGTGGTGCAGATCCTGGCGACGGAGCCCTTGTACGTCGGAGCCCTCGCTCTGGGCCTGACATCCTGCGACCCCGCCAGGCTTACCGCCGAAGATCTTCCCGACGACAGCGACCTCCTGCTGGACCGGTCCGAGTATTGGGTCGTCTCGAAGGACGTGGCCTCGTGTCCGGAACCCGGGGACGAGATCGCCTTCACGGTGACCCACTACGGCGAGGTGCAGATGAGCAAGAACGGCGGGCCACCGAACGTAGTCATGCACGTGGACCAGAGCCTCCAGCTGTGGGCGTTCGTCGACGTCTACGGGAGCACGCAGCGCGTCAGAATGCTGGCCAGCAGGCCGACGTCCCCTCCTAGGCAGCAGCAGCAACAACAGCCGCAGCAACAGCCCATTCCCTCTGCGAACCAACATTCGAATCACAGCAACGCCGCCACCGAGCTCTCCAGATTCTCGGACGTGCTCCAGGTTAAGCCGGTCGGCGGAGGAACGGTGCTGGTCGTGAACCTGCCTCCTCAGGGTAGCTACCCGGCGCCGCCGCCACCGACGCCGCAGCCCATATACGCCACGGCGGCCGCGGCTTCCCACAGGAACCCTCCACCTGCTCACCTGCCGCCCCCGCCGCCTCCGGTTCACCTGCCTCCGCTACCGCCTCCACCCATGGCTCCCATACCGCATCCAGGGTCCTCCAGGCAGTCCTCGCCCTTGACCGGCACCATGACCAGCACGGGGTCCTCCACCTACGTAGACCCCGTGTCTTACCAGACCCTCGACGGCACCCTCACTTCCCAGGCCTCGTCTCACCTGCAACAGTGGAGCGAGGGTCTTCAACCTACCCCCGGACAGCCCAGCGAGTGCTCCATCTGCTACGAGAGGAACATCAACAGTGTCCTCTACATGTGCGGGCACATGTGTATGTGCTATCCTTGCGCCATCCAGCAGTGGCGGGGCAAGGGAGGCGGCCACTGCCCGCTCTGCAGGGCGACCATCAGGGACGTTATCCGCATTTACAGATCGTGAACCGGTCTGCGGTACCGGCCCCCGTACGCCGGGGGCTGAGCGCGCCGGTATCAAGCATTCTTGGGCGTCCCGTCGACGACCACTCCCCAGAGGTCCACCAGCTGCCGACGACCGGGACCCGGGTGCTGCGACGAGACCGGCAGCCTTGGTCAAGGTCCGCCTAGGACTGCGGAAGTATTTCGAGAGGCACCTCCTGGAGCGAACCCCCGCCTCTCCTGCCCCGGTACCCGGTGGTCCTCTTGGGGCGGGATCCCTCCTAGACGCTTTCGTCCAGGATGCGGCTCCGAGGGACCCCCATGTTGGCCTTGGAGGGTCACTCGTCGAGTCTCTGCACGACTTCCAACGTTCCTGGTGCTCGGCATTTCCACGGATGCTCGCGTGATAGTACATAGTTTCTTATGCGGTTTAATGACGACTGGGCGGAGGAGAGGCTGACGGGTCCAGGGTCTCCCGCGAACCGACCCTGGACCTGGGGACTTTCGGGTTGATCCGGCGTCGTTGCCGGTGATCTTGTCACGGTTCATCGCACGGGGGTGTTCTTGGTCCTCGGGCTGGGGAGATTCGGGACGACGTTCCCGGAGGACGTCGAGGAAGTTTGTCGAATTGGGGGGACTGACGTGCCGCCAACGTGCTTCCAAAGCGTAACACTGCCGTCGTGCCGATGCGACGAAGGCTGAAAATAACGTAAACGGAGAAAAAAAAAAAGCAGAAAGTGCGAAGGGTACAGAGGTCCTTGTTGCAGGGGGTGACGATCCACCTTCTCGATCGACCTCGCCAGAGAGGTCGGTCCGCCTCGGAGAGGGAGAAAGAGAGATAGAGATTGAATTTTTAGGTCTCTTATTATTTTTCCTTTTTTTTTTTTTAACCATAATTATTACCGCTACCTTTATCGCTACTCGTGCTACTATTCTTACTGCTATTATTACCCCTTATTTTTACGGTTACTAGTGTCCACCATCCGTGGCTACGATTATCGCTATGTTTATTATATTTTTATCCCTATTATTATCGTTACTTATTAGCGCGATTAGGAGGATTCTTGATTGTACGGCAGCATGATTATTTAATGTCCTGTAATTATCCAGCGCGGGCTTTCTTTCTCATACCTATGTGGCGTTTAGTTTGACTTCGAGCGTGCCTCTTCTTAAGTACAGATTAGTTAGAGGGTCGTACGTTCTCCAGTGTTCTCTATTTTTATTTTTATTCCTCCTTTTCTTTTTTTTTTCTATATATATATATTGTTCTTGACGATCAGCCCGTTCCCCGAGTAACTACCAAAGAACAGCACCCACTTTCAACGAACCGACGCGACGTTCGCGACGCCTTTTCGTCCGGACGCCCCGTTAAAGCCCGATGCTTTTTGATACGTTAGATTAGCCGTGTACTTTTTTACTACTCGAGACACCGCGGAGGAAGAAAAACGTGTATGACTCCCCGAGCGGAATATTGAATCTCGTCGGGATATTATCCTACCAGAGGACGACGTTCGTGCGGTGACTTCGATGCACGGACGAGGCATGGAGAGCTCGCGAGCAATTTCTGATGCAGACGGTGGGAGGGAGAGGGATAAATCTGATCGGAAGAACTAGAGGCAAGACTTCCACTTCCCAGGATCGAGGCTTATCAATTTCTAAGCCCTTATCAACCCTTTGCGGAGATTCGGCTTCTTCGAGCCTCGGTCCGGACAGATCGATCCCTGCGCCCTGGCAGAACCAGACTAGGCGAACATTATTTTCGTACACTCCGTCGAGCCGGGAAAATCGGACAAATCGTATATCTCGGTGCACCCTGATTAACGGAATCCCGGTAATGAACATTGTCGCACCAGGGTGCACCGGGTGCATTCGGCGCATCGGCGTCTACCTGTCAGGGCCTTAATTTTTTGCATCTTGTGAGATAATCACACGGGAAGAAGGGTTTCACGACCGAGCGCCATGACATAGTACACTGGAAATATATTGTCAATACGCTGTCAATTTGTTACGTCGATTGTACAGAGCGGGAGGTGCGGAGTTGAAGAGGCGTTTATTGATAACGCCGTTTCAACTGCGCCGTGTGAGGTCTACTGCGAGCCCACGTCGACCGGCGGTGTGATTCCTCCTGAATGTTTTAATTTCGCCGATTCTTTATTGTTTCTTTTTTTCTCTTTTTTTTATACAAATGGCTCAATCACATCCTAAACTAACGTGGAAGCGTGTAGAAATACCGGAGCGTGTATTTTATATCACGATTGACTTTATTACCCGCAAATGATTCCGCGTGGAAGATCACAGCGCCAGATATTAACACCGTGGGCCGCCGATATATATCATACAAAGTACTAATAGGAGATGTTGTTATTACGCATTGTTGAATACATATATTTATTTGAGGCAAATCGACTGTAAGCTATAGAGGATTGATTTTTTTAATGACTAAAGTCACTATACGAGGTATCGATGTAACGTGACCGCGGTCCGTAATAGTCGGCGCTTTGTCGTGAAACATTTATCTTCTATACGGGGAGGACGACGTGCGCGACTTGCTCGCGATTGTCCCGGCTCGATTCCGATTTTCCTTGATAAGTCTGTCGCGGAAGAGTTTTCTGCGTGTACGGTTGAATGGCAAGGGAAATGTGTAGAGAGGAAACGACCGCCAGCTGGTGCGAGATCGCTCTAGAATTTTGTTGACGGCTCTTCCTCTAAACTTTCCTACATGGTAGAAAGATCTTCCCGAGGAAGAGAGAGGGAGCGATCGAGCCGCGAGATTTTCGACTCGTCGAAATTCGACGAAACTCGAAGAAATTCCCCCCCCACCGACGAGCACGCGGTCGGTCTTAAATTCGTATGAGCACTGTTGACATTTGACGAATCATTCGGAGCTGTCAAAGGTGTCGCGGTCCTCGTACCTTCTCGTTTCCTCTCTCCATCTTTCCGCGCGAAGGAAGGCAAGAAGACGAATGGTCGCGCCCAAAAGAAAACACGCAATAAAGCAGTAGTGAAATCTCTAGTCCAGCGTGCGGCAGTCTACCCGTATCTGCCAATCCAAAAAGAAGAAAGAAGTAAGGTTTAACGTGTAAACGAGAGAGAGAGAGAGAGAGAGAGAGAGAGAGAGAGAGAGAGAGAGAAGGAGAGAAAAATTTTATAGATACAAAGTGAAGAAAATTATCAGCGCGCGCCTTCCCCGCCGATATCAGGGCCGACTGCGCGCGCGCTCGCAAGATCTAATAGGAGATGTAATTATTATTCTAAGTACTATTAATTATTATTATACTATTATTCTATTAAGCGTTGAACGGAGGAGGCAGAGGGTGATTCGCGGATTATGTTTCTTAGGGTATATATAAATATAAATATAAATATATATATATATATATACGCGCGATAATGCGCGAGGTGTGTCGCAGGAGAGAAATGTTCCCAAAAATTCGCTGATAAAGTAACTGTAAGGGTAAGAGAGTCATTGACATTAGACGGACAATTATACCAGGTAACGTTGACGACCTAGGGTAGCCTCGTTATTTCTACGCCGTCGTCGTTGACGGAGAGCGTTGTCGTTGCCGCCTGACCTTATTTCTTCTTCTTTTTTTTTTTTTTTCATTTCCGCATCTCGTGACGTATGTTCGATTCGGCATGTTCTCTGTTATTATGTGTAATAACGCGGTTCGCATAAGTGCGAGCAATCCAACGCTTGGTACTCGTTCGATGGCACGAGGGACCCTTCAGTTTTACCGTCTACGTCCTTTCGGGTGAACCGCGCGGTTTCCACCCTTCATCGTATAAACTTGACGTGTCAATGTCAGTGCAAGGGACAGATACAGGAACTCGCGCTTTTTCTATCACTCGATATCCCGTTTGCGTATGCTATTCGTTGCGATAAACAGTTGTGAATATTGTCACGTCTCTGTGGTCGATGTGTCGGTAAGAGTTCGTTTTTTTTTTTCTCACTTTCCTCCGAAACTTAATGTAAAGACGCCGATGAAGTTTATACATATGTAATATAAATACGCGCAGCCCCGTGCTGCCGGGCACAATAAAATATTATATCTATCAGACGGTCGGATGGCTTTATCGAAATCCCCTGCAGTCCTTCGTCCTTAGACATCAGAAGTCGCTTCTGATCTCATCGACGATCCGTATCTCCATTAAAAGCTGTCTCCTCGAACCCCGTCGAAGATTCGGCACGACTCCAAATATATTCTTCTTCGGTTCCTAAAAATATACGATCAACCGTCAAAATAGTCCCCGCCTATATTTACGCGATACGTTTAGCCGTTCACCAAGTTTAGCATTTTCAGTGTCGGCGATGTCCAGTCTCGTGTAGACGAAACAATGACCTTGACAGAATCCGAAGCGAGGAAGGGCGACCTCCTTGCGGGACTTTCGGCACTCTGCCGAGATTCCCACGGGTGACGCTTATTTTTAAACGTCGGTTGCCGTGGCTACGAGAAAGGGTGTTATTTACACTAGGCAATCTCGTAACTATATTACCTGGTGGGAGTAGGGCTCCGGACTATTTTGCTTCAGTCTCGTGATTCTCCCGCGCCTGCGGACGTCCCTCCCCGGATCGACTGACCTTTCCGAGGAAACTGCACCGCTTCTGTTGGATCCTCTTCTTAATAATAATTCTAAGTCTACTTCTGACGGGATTCCTCTCGCCGGAGGCCCTCGATGAAGAAGCCCTTTTGACGCAAGTAAGACACGCTCTTTGCTGGCATTGTTACTTCTATCGTTATCATTATTTTTTGTCATTCTTAATATGTCCACTTTCTCCAAACCGCTAATAGTACATACATGTAACTCACCGTTTGACTAAATCCTATTACCAGAGGAAGTTAAGTCCATCAACTGTTGAAAATTAATCGAAAAACCCTCCGCTGGGTGGTAAGATACTCGAAGTCCATGAATTTCAAAATTCGTCGCGTCTGTCAGCTTCTTACCGAAGTTACGTAAGGCCGTAGACTGGGACGTAGTAAAGTTTATTTATCTGAAATGATTTCTTCACTCAAATGTTTATGTTAACGTAACCTTTGTTAAATATATAGAGGGAGGGGGGTAGTTTTCTTGATTCTCAAATTGTGAAATCATTCCGAGAAACGAAAGATTGGAACGTTACCTGAGGTGTGCAGTTGAAGGACGCGTGAAGTTTGAAAACAATCCGCCCGCGAGACGATACTCGCGACATCTGTCGGGACAAATCGAAAGTAACCAAAGTGGCGCTAAAATCAATTAAGATGGCGGCAAGGCTTTTATGAAAATTCTTTCATTACACACGAAACGTTCTGTGAAAATGTTTTATCTGAATGTAAAATCGTATTGCGGTGTGTGACTAATATATGAAGTATTTAAGAAACGAAGAGTGTTCGTTCTTGTTTCGAACGAAAACTGTACATTTATGAAAGAGAACAGGTGTACGAAGTTATATCGGTAGAAGAGGTCTATACTGCCAAGGCATTGATTCCTAAACACGAGTCGTTTTAGCTCAGATATCTATAACTAACAGAAAATAGAGGGGTATAATGGCAAGATTACAAAGGCTGGCATTGACATATGTACCGGTATATACTCGAAAGATAAAAGGTATGTACAAACGTGCCATGCGCACTTGTACGCGTATGTTGAAACGTGGAATCTATTTCGCCCTGACCTCCGGTAAAGTATGTATAGTCAGTCACAGTCTTATTCGTGGGCAGTCAAGTGTTTCATTACTTCCTCTGTGATTCTTTAGCTGTTATTGACAATCCGACACGTATGGATAAGCTATGAATAATTTCTTCCATTAATATGTCAGTTTTAACTTATAATTCACGTGTTTTAACTGAACTTTTTGTAGGATAAAGAAGAAGAGGAAAATTTGAAAGAAGATAGCGAAAGGCATAAACAGTGTCTTGAAACAATAGAGTTTGGAAATAGCTTGTGTAGCAGAGATCAAGAAACGAGAAAGATGAAAACAATTTGGGTGATCGGTGGTCCGGGATGTGGTAAAGGAACTCAATGCGATCGCATCATAAAAAAATATGGACTTCTACATCTAAGCAGTGGCGATCTTCTACGAGACGAAGTCGCCAGTAACAGTCCGAGAGGTGCAAACCTGCAGGAACTAATGTCCAAAGGCTTGTTTGTTCCCACTGTAAGAGATAGTTACTTTTGCTCTTTTCACTTTGAAGAATAAATTATTTTGAATGAAAATGATCTTTCTTCTCAGGAAGTAGTATTAGAACTGATAAAGGAGAAAATGACGAAGGCTAAAGAAGGAGGTTCGGTAACTGGATTTCTTATCGATGGATATCCGAGAGAGTTGGAACAGGGTATAAAATTTGAAAAGGATGTAAGTAAGATCATGTAACAGGCAGTTAAGTTGTCTTTATGGCACTGTACTGCTGTGCAAGTTACCAGTATCCATAATTTCATACAAATTCTTATTGCAAGGTATGCCCGGTCGATCTTATTCTTTTCTTTGATGTTGGAAATGAAACGATGAAAACGAGACTTCTGGGTCGAGCTGCAGTCTCGCAAAGGGCTGATGACAACGAGGAAACGATCAAAAAAAGAATTGAGATTTTTAACTCAAAAAATAATGAGATCGTTGAGCATTACAAAGATAAAGTCGTTAGAGTAAGTACTATATTATTAACAATATTTATTTTTTATTTAATTCAAATGCACCACAATGCAAATTATTGTCTTTCAGATTAACGCTGAAGGGGCAATTGATGATATATTCAATGAAGTTACAAAAGTACTGGATACTCTTGTAAAATCGTAATGAATGATTAATTTTAAATGACACTTACTGACCTTTGATAGGTCAATAGCAAATATGCGCTACGCTATTACCTTAATGCAATTGCATACTAGAATTTTAGAAGCACAAAGTTCTGTGGCACAAGATCAAGTCATTCGACATATCTGTTGAAGAAAGACCACAATATTACTATTTCATTAAAAATGATTTACGCTTGTACAATGTGAGAATTCTACATGAAAAATACAAGACCTGTTAATGAATCAAATGTAATCTACTTTGGTGGCACTCTAATCATTCATGTTTCGATGATATCCTTACACACATATATGGAATTTTGCACATCAATGAAATGTTTTACAGTCTCCTGGTTATTAAATCCACAAAAATTGTGAACCACCGGATTGGTTGTTTTTTATTAATTCACGCATACTGGTTCACAATCATTCAACATCCTCATTTCAGTCGCTCAAATTCAGTCTTCCTAGATGACCTTCCGGAAGACAGACATATCCTGCATTTTAGTAATCATTGAAATCAAGCAATTATAATGTTCCGTTAACTTGCTCATGTCACGAGTTCATCATTGTGCATTGCATACACGTACCAGACATCTTCTCAGAAATGATTTACATGATTATGTGCTTCGTAATATTATGTGGAGTTCCAACATACTTGTCTCTCTCAAGTGATCGTTGTTGTCAAATCAGTCAGCAAGAATCTCCAAGGTATAAGCTGTTGAAAACAGGGATTCGTTCAACTCAGACTGTCTTGTCGAGGAAGCAAGTTCCCGACTTGGCAGATTGTATAAAATTTGCAGTTTCAAAGAAGGCATTGGCTTTTAATTTTAGTAACAACATATCGAGTCATGGTGAGTCGAGAACATTATACTTAAAGTATCATCACGATAAATAGTGTTTAATTCAAGATCAAGTAAAATAAAAATTGTTTTATTCATAACAGGAAACAGTTCACAGCATCATAAAAGGGAAGGTCTAGACAATGAAAATTGCATCCTATTTGAATGCCCCGAGTTAAATAATTTTACAACCATTACGAATGACACTCGGTTCAAATACTACAGCATGTATCGTGGTGATCTTATGATATGTAAGTATCAGTTAAAACTTATCGATAACATTTACAAAATAGATTTAATTTACTCTAATACATTTACAGCGATTGGACAAGTACAATGCATACCAAAAGTGGGGATTTTCCTATTATCCATGAATAAAAAAAATTACACCAAGGCTCGTGAATCTTGCCAAAAATTAAATGGAAGTCTCGCACACGTTGTCAGCGAAGAACGAACCGAAGGTCTAGCGAAACTCATATCGGAGTCCCTGACTTTCTTCGTAGGGCTCAGTAATCGAGATAAGGAAAGAATATGGACTAACGAATTCAGTGAGTAATTAATTCCTGTGAATCAAAGTATAACAAAAATACAATTTGTTCTACACTTTAAAGGGAAGAAACCAAAGTAATTTATAATTCCTAACAAAAGAAAAATATTGCAAACAGATGAGCCACTGGATTGTTTCAATTATCGTGCTTGGGGACCTAGAGAGCCTACTCATTCTCGAGGATGTGTCGGATTGGTACAGCCGGAAGATTTATCAATGGTGTACTGGAAGGTCTTACCTTGTGACTTATCAACGTCTTACATATGTGAAATATTTCCCATGCAACAACGTCGGTCCAAAGTATCGTCATAGAAGAAAATTGCTATTATGCTTCAGCAACTTCACCCCATTAGGATTACAATGGACATATGAATAACTGGGATAACGTACACCGAATTACAAGTCCCGTCAGTAAGTACGTAGAGAAAGATTTACTTCAGTTAAATATTTACATACAAATACGAATAATCTGGCACGACTCCGTGTGACGTGTTTGGCGCGAAAACAAGAGGAAAGAAAAATATAACTCTCATTCTGTCCTCTATGTATGTACATAAATTCTATAACGTTTCTCAGCGAGTCCCCTTCGTCTGCCCTTCTCTTTCGACTCTTTGTTAACATCATTTAGTAACTATCGTCTTACGTTCTAGAGGCTTAGGATTAACCACGATAAGGTCGAGGCGCTTCCCTTCGACCACATTGTTGGTAGCACTCGTGCCTCACGATGTATTTATGCTAACATTGTAGCGTCTAAGCTGCACCCACATCCAGTTAACACTCTTAGCAGGACTCTTGTGAATAGGAATGATCTAACGGAAAGAAAAGCGGCAGACTGCATTCCAACCAACGAAACGGGATATACGGTTTGATTTGCCAGTTGTTAGCCGAGACCCGTCGTCGCGGATTCGCGTCTTACTTGCAAATTGTACCTAGGTGGATAATATTCGAGGAAACTCGACAACTCTTGGACATGCTAAAATCTCTTGTCTGCGTGGTAGACAAATCGTTACGACCCATTGCATCCAGTCGTACAGCTAGGTATTTCTTGGACTACAACAAATATGAAAATCGACGGAATGTAAATAGCTTAAAATTATTTTAAGCAACGAAACTCCAGCTTAAATACGTCGCCATCCGTTAGAAGAAATGGCCTTCGTTATCGAGGACAACATTAGGTGGAATCTACGCCCACTTTAGGACACAATAAATAATAATATTAATCAAGAGCGCATCCTCCGAGGAGCAGCTCCGCCAGTTTTCGCTGGCACGAGTTTAAACGGCCTAATTCAATTTTACAATATTGTTGCACAATATAAAAGTACAAAACGATTGATTTTCGTTTAGATATAAAGCGACATAGAGGATCGGTCGATATTGAGAGGCGACGTGCCTTCGACAACCTAGCTTCTCACAACTCACAAATATTACATTGATTAATGAAGGGTTCTACTCGTACACTGCCATTTCTTTTTTGTTACGTCTAATTATATCGTCTACCACTGATTAGCACCATTATAACCACGTTGAAGCTGCATTATGTCCTGTTATATTCAGAGCTGGGTACTTAAAATAGTTTCATGCCAAATGTGTTTTAAAATTAGGTTTGTACTTTGTCCTGAGGTCATTATTAACAAATATTCACGTTAATAATCATCCTATTCGTAGAATATAATTGTTTCCTTTCAATTAACGTCAAACAAAGTGCAGGTTTAATTTTCAAGCAAATCATGTATCGAACTCCTAACAGGTACCCTGCTCTAATTACATCTTACTTGAACGATTACGGCGCGATGGATTCTGTTGCTCGTCTAATCGCGAATATCTCAAATCCTCTGTGTTCCTTTACATTTTCCTTTTCAACGGGCTGACACAGTTTGACCGAATCGTCATCTTAGTCTAATCACCGGATCGAACGCATCACTGATACAGAATAAACCGTGTGAGTTACGATATTGGCACAGTCGGATTACTTGTTAAACTTATCGTATATTCACCATCTTTTCTTTATCGTTATGAGGCAGCGATTTGGTGGAAACGAAAATCACGTGTATCCACCGACATCGAGCAAGCATTTTAAGTACTTAACAAAAATTCTAGGGTGTCCGGTGCTCGCGTGAATGTTGAACATTTAATAAAATAGAAAGCACCTGTGCAATGACAGAATTAGTACTCTGTACCATGCTGAGCCAAAAATTGAGCCAGACATTACACAACAAAAAAACCATCCACTTGCGATCAAGTGAACTCTATTATTATGTATTTTAACTCATACCACGTAATCCGTTGGCAATATGTCGCTCAATCATTAACCGAAGTGAACCGAAGAGCTGCGGAATTTTTTATTCCTGCTGTTCGTATCGCTAAGATATTAGAAAGAAATCTTGCTGGACGTGATTACCGAGATGTGTCGCAATACAAAGCGCGACGACGCAAACAAGACGCATGGCAGTCGTAGCGGTGAGATCGTTAAAAAGAGCGGTAAAATGCGAATATCAAAAAATTGAAGGGAGGCCGCGTAAAACGTCGCGTGGAATGTTGTGCTTTCAGCTAAGGACCGGAAGAATACTGTAATCGCAATGGTAAGGCAAACAATAACCGCTGCCACCAGCACTAATAAATACGTAATAACAACGAATGTAAAATAATAGTGATAGTTATAATAGTTAATTGTTAGAAGTAGTGACAGAGAATTAGCAGAGCAGCGTCGGTTACCCGAGGGAGGGAATGCACGGCGAATTTTTAATGCGGTAGAAATTATTTATGCTTTGTTGTTGGTCGAGACATTACCCAGGAGGGGAACCAGCTGTTCGGAGAGCTGATTGACCGTTCGTTGCAGAATTATCTGTTTCTCCTCCAACATGGTGACCTGCCATAAAGCGGACTATAAATTAACAACTATTTCATACCGAAAGAAAATCACACTAAGCAATCAAAAGTCCACGGTGCCCACATGGTTTGTTCAGTTGTTTATGTGCAAGACACTTTTGCGTCAATATTGACATTACATGACAATTACATTATCTGTTAACACTTACCCTTTCCAAGAGTTGACTGTAAAGGATATATGGAACGTACGCAGTGGCCGTTCCTGGACATGTAGGTGGTTCGGGGAGGCTTGAAGACTCAATTCTCTGATTTTTATCCTTTTCTTTCGGAGTGGTATCTTCAGCATCTGGATCAGGCTTTATTGCACTCTCTGCAGTACTGGATGTCATTAATCTGTCGAATATAATTTAATTGTTTTTAACGCGAGACTTAAGATGTTGGTCTCTTGAGGATGGTGAATATTTAATGTAAATTCAAGTTACACTTACCGTGAGTAGCCTTTTTCTTTCTTGACTTCCACCTTGTCGACCCTATCGACCGAGCTAACCTTCATTCTCTCCATCTGACTCATTCTTAACTCCTCCACCTATGCAAGATTTTATTAAAAATGTAGAGAGGGGAATTTAAGAACAAATGATAGAATATAAAAAAAAAATGCTTACCCACGGCGAGAATCGCTTTACCCTTCCCGTAGGACCCTCTGTATCCTTGTCGCGCAACTGTTCAGAAGTAGCCTCAATATTTCCATTTGCTAGGCTATCCTCCTAAAATTGAAATAATAATTGAGCAAACTAGGTACGAGTAATCGTGAATATTACCGAATAGTTGGAATTGTTACCGTAGTAGTCGTAACATTTGCGGCACTACTATTGGGTGGAAGAGGAGCAGCGGAAATGCTAGTTTGGCGAAGGTGCTGCGTTGAGGGTAGACGTCGACGTGGAGCTTTCGCTCGAGAAGCTGTTAAATGCGAAAGTGGTGTTCCTTCCCCTCGTTCTACTCCATCCAACTCTTCATCCAAACCTGTAGTAGTGGCTCCATTATCGTTGTTACTCCCTTCTTCGCCAACAATTCGCTTTAAGCTCGACATCAGTGAATGATTGCCGGATATCTTCTTATCACCGCTTCCTCCTACAATGCCGATCAGTGTCGACGACGAGGACACGGACGAGGATAACGATGATTTTTTAGAACTTTCTGTGGAATTCAAAAAATATTTTGAATAATTTGAAATTTCTTATCACTAAATCAGAGCGAAAGCGACATTACTTACCTGTATGAATATTTCGGGAATTTAAACTTTTCCTTATATGTGCCTTTTCACTTTTTTTAGTACCATGTGAAGGTTTCGTACTGGATTTTGAAGTGGCTTGACTTTGTTCCTGACTGTGATGTTGATCACCCTTTACACCGATTACTTCAACAAAATTATCCGGAAACAATCCTATTTGGCCTCGCAACTCTCCTTTCCACCAGCCCTTTGTGAATTATAAATTAAAGGAAGATTAGAAATATTTGTAGAATATATACACTATGGTAGTTAATACAATTTTGTAGAGAAGAAAAGATTTAAATCAATAAACTGCTACCAATCGATAGGAACCTTCTAACCCAAATGGTGGTTTTGGACTGACGGAAACGTGAAACACACATACACAATCACAGCTACATGAGCAAATTTAAGTTTGAGCCCAGCTGAGAATAGCTCACACATTCAGATAAAAATATCCGTTCCACAAAGGGCTAACGGACAGTTGCATAATTTCTACTTTAACTTCAGTCACACCAAATAATTAATCCTTTACATTATGGAAGTATTATTACAGAAGATTTCATATACCTTATCAGGTGCATCTCTGGAAAGGAGAGTAATTATATCACCTTCCACAAGGGTCAGTTCATCTTTGTTGACGGATTCATAAGGGAATATAACTCGACAGAGTTCTTTCTTGTCTCTCTCCTTAACTGCTTCCGGTTCTTCGAAAGCAGGAGATGAGACAAAATTAGATGGAAAGACACCAATGCGTCCTCTGAGCCTGCCTTTCCACCATCCTTCTTCTACTTCGCCTAAGAATTCTATCATGTCTTGAGGTATGAGCGTTAGTTCATCTTCATTGCAAGGCTCGTAATTGAATAAAACTTTGCACCATTTCTTTCCCCTATCTGCAGCTGATGCCCCATTACGTAGGGTGACATCTTCGGTTTCTAAACTCGAGTTCCCTTCTCCACCTCCACCCGGAGATGACGGTTCCAATACCTAGAGCATTAAAAACTACTTTAGATCTATTCTAGCTTTCCAGATTACTAAATTCATAATTGTCGTAGCAATGTCACTGAAAACACACCTTGACAAAGTTGTCGGGAAACATGCCTCGTTTATCCCTCAAGGTACCCTCCCACCATCCTCCGAACATTACTTTTATTTCCTTAATGATATCTCCTTTCTTCAGAGTCAGCTCGTCTGGCTCTTGTGCCACATAATTGTATTCTACTCGTGCTTCCATTTTTTCTAGGCCTGGATTGGACCTATTATCTATGTCTAAAAACATACATATATTAATCCTTCTGTCTTATCAGTGACATCGAGACCTATATAACATGACACTACTCTAGGATTGAATAGGTCAGCTATGAACACAGTGTGGATTAAAACCGATCCAGAGGATGGTCAAATACACTTTCACCGATTAATACCTACATGCATTTACGAGAATCTAATTCTAACGTCGAAAGAATTCCGCTTTCATCGTATTTACGCGGATCATCCTAGATATTGCACGTTCTAATTAAAAAGATAGCCTAATCAGATAGTGACATACACAGAAAATAGGACAATGTGCTAAATCAAGTACTACGCTTGTCCGTAGAGTGAATGCACTCATGGGCAGATAATACAAACTTACAGATCTCATAATAGTGATGTGTTTATGAAAAGAGTTGTAAAAAGTTGAAATTTAGGCGGATCCGAAGCCAATTTGACAGCCCCATGAATGTGTCACTGTCGCCATCTTGAATCGACTTTGGATATTGAAATTCAAAGGTGCTCTCCATGAGTCACAGCAGATTGGAGACGCGCACAGAGATGAGTTGGGAGATTGCTCACGGGCAGGATCGTGTGATCGCATCCTGTGCTGCCCTCTGGTTTCGTACGTTAGCTATCACCGTTTTTTGCCCCCACGGGCGGCGCAACGAATTTCTGATAGGGATTCGCGCACTCGCGATGGTAATGGCTTAACTGCGCTTACCGACACTGCTCGGTTTTGATGGTAAGGAAAGAACACTCGTGGCGCCCTCTTTGAATTTACCCTACACTTACCTTATTTATTTTATCCGCAAATGATATAGGCAAAACTACACATGGGGGCTCGAGAGTTATACTTTATACACAATTTTTATAAGCTACGGAAATTAATAAAAAAATAATGAATGTTTCCTAGGAAACATTTTCCCAACTCGTCTGAGTAGATCTGCAAGGAAACTATCAATGAATGGCAGTGTACAGCAAAACGTAAAAATAGAACGAAACGTGGGATCGTAACGCGATCGTGTCTGAAGTTTCGGGAAAATACGTATGTACTGTCGAGAAAAAGATGTTTTCCGCCGACTTCAATTTAATGTAATCAAATCCATCCATCTGACGTCATTGAACGTTTAACAAAATTACACGTAAGACATAAATATGGCTTTCATTAATTTAATCAAAATGAAGTTATAAAATTTATATTTATGATACACTTTACAGGATTGTAATACCATTAACTTAAGGTGCGTGTCACATTACCGGTAAATATATATAACAATTGACAGGTAGCTTCTTCATGTAGTATCAACGGCGTTAACAAACCATAGTCAAGATAATTTTTCTATCTTTTAGCTGTAGGACGTATTCTTTCCTTTTCGCTATCATCCGCTACCGTCCATTCGGGATCGTTAGGGTCCTCACCCTCTACATCGCAGCAAGCCGATTCCGTCGAATCCGATTCTGGAGTATCTAATCCACATTCCTGAAGAATAGGGAACGTCAATGAACATGATACAACGTAGGTCTAACAAGTAATATTAATATTTAAGAACACGCAGAAGATGTCAATACGTATCAGAAGCCCATTTCTACACGTTCAATATTGCATTCTTGTCCTAGATACATCCAGTACTGCATCGATACATTAAACCAGTGAAAAATGTTCTCTTGCCACCATTATATAAGTTTTATCATCATTACGCACTTCACACATCTTGTATCTCACATTACGAACGTATAAATATTAGATACAAAAGAACAAATAGCTACCTCATCTCCTTTATCTTCTCTCGAGCATAACGATACCGACGAAGCCTGCCAATGGCCATCCGGCATAGCCTCTAGCATTTTATCATACACCTCCTCGGATAATGGAAAAACTCTCGGCTCATAGGGCAAGACCTGAAATTAAATCAATACGTCATAACAAATTCTACGTACCCTACATAATTGCGATTACGCGATTGCTACAGATTACTCAGAAAGATATGTGGACGTTATATAATCGCGCGAATCACCCTTCTTATCAGTCTAGTTGATCGGTCCGAAAAAGCAAGATCATAACTAATTACCTCGTTATCTTCTTCGGTGAAAGATGCCGTGGTGTCGTCCCTGGCTAGCCTAAGCGATGATATGGATTGGCGACGCATCGCGTTATGGAAAGAAAGTGGGCGATGCGTATCCAGCATTTGCTGAGTCCGATTTTCTAAATCGTGCATCATAGCAGGTGTCGCTGGCGGTGAATTTATCGGCGATGGTACATCGCAGCCATAGTCACTTGCGTTAGGAGATAAAGGATCTAAAGCACAGTATAGCTTTTAACATCGACACGTTATAACGCGCGGTTTGTCATCAGGATAGAGTAATTATACAGTTGACTAAATGATGCGTCTATAACGTTAATACTAATTGTATAATAAATGATGGTAAAGGTACCTGGAGTGTTCGCTCCACTGTCCGCTCTGCTGTCAGTACGACGATGATGGCGAATACGAGTCTGATGTGGCATATTTACGTAAGTCATGAAGCGTTTATTTTCCTCGCGTTCACTTCGCTCGTGCCTCAGCGCCACCATTTCATCTGATACATCTTCGATCTGGCACAGTCCAACATGAATTGCATATTAAATATTCGCATTGTACCCAGGGATAAACAAAACTATCTAAGATATTATATCAACGACGACATTGCGCGTTAACGAGGTTCTGTAATCTTGGTCTTACCGAAAGACGTTGAAATTAAAAGCGTGTAGAAACTACATTCTTAAATTAACGAGACAATTTCCAGGGTACCACTGCAGACACAGGGATAGCAAACAGAAAAGTATTCTATATGACTGTCCGATATGATCAGGTATGATAATCAGCATCAGAGTTCCGTAAGCGTTGAGTAATTCATTTACCAAATGAGCGAAAAAAAATATATTATGCTTAGCTGTGAAAGCAACTAGTGCTTATCTAAATTGCGTACCACATTCATAGCATCTGATTTATACATACAAGCATGTAAGAACGGATCACATTCGTTACACTACGTAATACACAATTAGAGCCAATTCCTCCGAGTACCTCTAAATTAGGAATCTGTATTTAATAGAAATACATTTTAAACCATTACGTCTAATGAGATGAAAATCCAAAACGAACCGTCGGAATCAGCCCTTAAACTTTACCTCTCAATCTACAAATAAGTACTGAGTAAAAAAACAATTAACAGGCACTCACGTCGCTATTTTGATTAGGCTTCTGCATAATGCCATTTTTAATGTCTGTCTTCGCGTTTTCTTCGTAGACTCTCCACCTAGATTAACAATCAATCGTGGTATATGTTAGATACAAGGATTGAAAATACCGTTGATAAAGTATTAATCAAATAGATCATGTATAAACGATTGTAGTATTCTAATCTTGTATCCTTGATACGTGAAATAAAAAAGTATGTAGCTGTAAGGAAGAATGGTAATGTTTTCCTACCGAGTAAATAAACTGGGTTGGACGCCCTCGCAAACAGGACGGCAAAACAATTGCCAAACATCATTTTACAGCCAAACATATACAACAGTAAGGTGGCAAATTTAGGTATTAACAAACTAGGAGGCCTGGTAATTGTTTCTATCGTCCATTCATGATGGTTTTGCTGAATTTGTAACACCTGCGGTGTTACTATATCAGCAAGATGATTTTCAACAATTGTTTACAGAGTACCGTCCTATTAAGAACTGTTCGAATTTCTAATTTTCCGTGTTCGGAAGACCAGACACTCTCTGCGGTAACTTTTCCTCTGTGCGTAGTTATCTCCATCTAGGTCTTCCGCTCTAGGTAATCGGCTTCGTAATACGCGGATAATACTTTAATAATATTACTTCGAAATGACTGTACCCTCTGTTGCAGTTCTCGGATAATTTTACTTTTTGAAAATTACGATGGCACATTAAAGCCCTTAATGGAGCAGGTCTGGCCAAGAAATGAAGAAATAAATAACGTGGCACATGAGTAACGCTGAAAGTCACGGAGTGGCCGATCGATAATATAGCTGAAAACTGTACGCAAGAATAGAGAGCAAGAATTTGTACGAGTGAAAAAAAAAAAACAAAGGAGAACGACGGAGGATTAAACAGGTTGTTTGGCTCAACAGAGCCACTTCCCCCTAACGCTGGTGGTACAGGTATTAATTTTACCCATCTGAAATTGCAGCGGATGAAATTTCAGGTGCCCCTACTTTTACCCGGTCACTCGCATTTACTCGGAGGGGACGAAGGAAATACCAACTGATATTTCTTTATATCCTGTCAAATCATAATCCTATCAAACTAACCAAAAGACGACCAGTTACGTCGAATAAGACTCTACGATTGAGCTTGATATGAGATAATTGCCCACGGGTCATATTTCACGAGAGGCTCCAAAAAGTGTCGATAAATTTCTCACTCATCGCGTAATCGTCAAAGCCGTGACTCACGTTTAAAGATAATCACCTGCTCTCTGTTTATGCATAATCAAAATCGATTCACCCGGCTTGGAACGCAATTTTTGAGCTTTAAGTACATGATCGTGTAACGGCGAATATGCAATGAGGTCGTCACTTACTTCGGAGTTAAGATTTCCTTGTACTGTAGTTTCTCTAGCCGTGTAGAAGCAGCTATGCTGTACGGTATGACGATATTGTCAATGTCGTAAGAATTTTGCCTTAATCGCCTGAAAATATAACGTTCATGAGAAACAGAAATTACGAATTACAATTAAATAAAAGGACATTACCGGGCAATTCTGGTTTTAAAACAGTACAGAAAACTGGCTTTGGTAACTTAGCCTTTCAAATGAACGTGGAGGGTATATATTCGCTTACCCATGGACATTGGAACTTCGGTCCTTAGGGAGAAGCTTCTCCGTTGATGCGGGAACTTGTTGCAAGGGTGAAGGCACAGGTGACGAATTCTTGCTCGATCCTGATTGCACACTAGCATCGTCATAATCATCCGGAGGTGGCACTTTCGCTATTTTCTTCTTATTCAGTCCATGGATATTCCTTTCGTGCGCTAGTCTGCGTCTCTTTCCTTTCAACATCTTTCTCTTAATTCCTGAAAATGTATGCGTGATAAAGTAACGACTATTCTCTACCGAAACGGAACCCCAAACAGAGAGCTAGGAATGCATTTTGTGATTTCTTCGTTTAGAAAATATACAATTTCTTAACGAGCAATAAACATCCCACAGGATCCATCTGGCAAATAGTATTAGCGAACGGACACTTACTCGCAGTAAGGATGGCCGAAGATGACTTCTTCAGTCGACCGCTAAACTTCGCTCTATGCTCGAGCAGCTTTTTATTTCTCCTTTCGTTACTTTCCTTATCCTTGAAACGTGTCGTTCGGAGATTTCCTCGCAACATTTTTTGTTGCCACTCGACCGACTTCATGATAGACTCTAAATGCGTCCCGTGTACGGTTTCTAAGAAGACAAATAAACATCATGTAATACATTCAATAGCTGTGCACTAATTTCACTAAACGTACTACCACCAGGACGGTTAAGTAAAATGCAAGAAATTTATAGAAATCAATAAAGATGCAAGCTCGGTTTCGGTAATTTTCAGACTTCAGCGATCCGGGCGGCACTCTAATCCGCAAAAAGTGACCTCAACAGCAGAGCTGGCAGAAGAGGACGATACTAAATCTCGCCGCAGTCAATTTTAGACATTTTTACATATTCATGCATAAGAGATATATAACGGAAAGATGCACCGGACAAATGATGAACTAATTGACTTAGTTCGATATTCTAAGATACCCTTTCCGCTACTTTCAACGTAAACTAAGGAACAGACTCTATCTTCTCAGTCTATGCAAAAGGCGTACAAGAATCGTAGTTCCCGGATAAGCCTAGAGACTTAGACAGCGAATGGAACAAGAGAGACATTTACCGTCTGGAAACGACAGGACTGGATGAAATCCAGGATCAACCAGGGCCATCCTATCGTTTACGGATATCTGCTCGACGGGTTCCAGAGGCTGAATGGGATCTTGCCTTCCGGTACACAGAGCACAAGGAGGTAATACGCTGTCGCAGTTGCACCTCACCGAAGAGGCTTTGGCGGCGCGTTTAGAAACTTCGTGGAGTCTGTCGATCTGCAGTAGCTTCCTCTTTCGATAAATACTCCAAACGAACGGTCTTGTCCTACTGGCTGGCAGTTCGCCCTCGGTCGCGTTGCAACGTCCCGTAGAACCAGGCAGAACGCCGCTGTACCCGTTGACGGTCTCAGCGTTGTCCAGGATAACGAGACCCTTGGTCGCTCTAATTTGGCGCTGCAGGTCATTGTGTTGCCGAATTCTGTACTCCAAGTCGGATATCTGAGCTTGCAACCACGTCCACCGAGAAGCTATTCCCGCTCGATCCTGAGCGTATCGCCACCCAGCTCGTTTGGATCTACGGAAAGACCCCGAGGCTCTCAATTATTGTTAACAAAAACATATTACGGATTAAGTTCAAATGAAAAGCCAGACAATAAAATAAATTCAATTATCCGAGTGTCTCGGAGAAGGTGAATATGCGAATAATATCCTAGGATTGACAACTCGTTTGTCTAAACTATATGAACATCCGGAATAGTGTGTTTAAAAGATGCAGGGTGTGACGGAATTCGCGGTCTCGGTTTACACATCGCCATTCTTGTTGAATATGAAGTCGAGAGATCATGTACTATTTGTTTTTTTCCCTCGGTGCATGGTTTGTCTATAATAATTCATTGAAAAATGGCCAACCGGGCCCGTCGATCAGAACGCAAATCACCGATTTGCTGTTCATAAGCATGGATGTAGGACATGTGAATCCCAAACACTTGATCGCTCCTTTTTTATCCTTGTGGCTGTGGCGAGAATAAAAGAGGGCGGACAAGGGACGATGCTTTCTCCCTTTCCTTCTTTCTCTCTTGTCGGTAGATAGCTTGTCGGCATATCGCGCCGCGCAGCTGTTTTACGCAAAATCAGGAGGAAGGAGAGGAAAAGAGAGCGTCGTTTGTTTTCAGTCTCTCGCCATGGCTACTTTCTCGGACAAATCGCTGTCCCGAGTCCGTAACATCCCACATCCATGAACTTAAAGACCCAACTCTAATTCGCGTTCCGGCAATCCCCGCGCCTGGTTGACTATTCTTCGATGAATTTCAGGAAATACCAGGAAACTGCACCGCGGTAAAACGAAATAGTGTACTCTTCTCTCCATTTTCACCAAGGACAGTAATAACTAAACGCATGGACGTAGGATGTACGGACCCCGAATGCCGATTCGACCGTGACGGCAGAAAGATCGAGACAGGAAACAAGGGACGCTTTCTCTCTTTCCCATTGATTTGCAAAACAGTTGCGTAGCGCAATATGGCGACAGGCTATCGGACAGCAAAAGAGAAAGAGAAAAAGGATCGTCTCTTGTTCGCCCTCTCTTGATTTAATCGCGATCGCAAGAACGACGGTGGAGTGATCGGGCGCTCGGGGTCCATACATCCTACGTCCATGTGTAAACATCGTAGCCCCGGATTCCGTAACACCCTGTACACAAAAAGACACGCGTGAGAAGGTGTACGAGGATCGGTAGTACTCCGAGTAACTTACATGGGCAAATATTGTTGATGAGAGTTACCGAAGGTCTGCATCTCGTCGCAACTCTCGCCGCCGCTGCTCGAGGCGGTGCAGTCGGAGTCCAAGCTCGCCTCGACCACGCGGAGTTGAGTCTCGAGAGGTCCCGCGGCACCCTCGACCTCGTCCCTCTGGACCTTGACCCGCGGCATGCCGAAGGCGAGGTGACGACCGGCATTGCCGGTCGACGGATTGGAGAAATTGTCCCGGGATCCGCCGCCGAAGTACCGGCAGCACCCGCGCTGCCGGTTGACGGTGTTGCTCCTGACGGCGCAGGTCTTCTCGATCTTCTGAAGGAAGGAGCCGAGGCCGGCCCCGACCTCGGGGAAGCCCCTGGAGGCGGCCGACTTGGAGCCGCCGCCGGGTAGCTCCTGAAAGAGGTACTTCTTGATGCCCCGATGAGCCAGCTCGAGGACGCCGGTGTTCTCCTCGGCGACGTGGCATCCGAGGAGCTTCGCCTGGAGCTTCCGCAGCCTCCTGAGGAGGAAGGCGCACCGCCTCTCGCTCTCGAACTGCTTCCTGGTGACGAGGTCCTGCTGGGTCTTAAGGCCCTCGGACCTGCGCTCGACCCCCTCGGCGTCGTTCACGTTCACGTTGACGTTGCAGAGGCTCATCACGTCGACGTCAACGTCATTAAGAAGGTCCTTCTCGAACGAGGAGAAGCCCTCGGGGATGGGGAACATCTCGACGCCGTCCGCGGGGCCCTGGACGACCTCGCTGCCAGTCCCAGCCACGCTTTCCGCGTTTCCCGCGACCTCCAGCGAGCGGAAAACCTGTAGGAGGTCCTCCACCTGGCCCATGTAGCCGTCGTAAGGGCAGCAGGGCTTGTCCGCGCAGCCCGAGGTCGACTGCTCCGCGGGCGCGCCCTTCTCCGCCTCCGTCGCGGACACCTCCACGCTTGACTTCAGGAAACCCATCTCGTCGTCCGGCCTTCGGTCGCCCATAGATGGGTCGCTCATCATAGTACTCGTCGCCTTGGCTTCCGAGCTCGCCGGGCGGGCCTGCTCGGTTGGTTGCTCCTCGCCGACCCGGCGGACGAGCGAACGCGACGACCTGGTGATCAGGTCGAGCCCGCTCGCGAACGCTGATAGGCTGTCGAGGTCGCTGCTGTATTTCGAGTTAATGACATCCCTGATGAGCTCCCTCGAGACGCCGCTCAGGCACTGCTCGTCGATCTTCGAGGGCTGCACGCTCGCGGAGACGACGAACTGGGCGAGGACCTCCCGCTTCTGGCAGACCTCCGCGGCCTGCTCGCTCGTCAGGAACCCACCGGCCGGCAGAGGGGCTAACGGATTCTCGGGTTGCTGAGGACCACCGTCCGTCAGAGCAGGGGCCATTACTGCCGCCGCCTCGACATCCAGATCCTCCCACCCTCGTCGGCACTCGCTCCCGCACCCGTACTCCGAGCGGGCGCCGCTCAGTCCCATTCATCCATTACCGCGGCGCTCCTCCGATGTCCTTTGCAGCGACCTAGCTCGGCGCGCTTATCCTCTTCTCGGCCTCTCCCGGACGATTCGGTGATCCCTCCGGGTGCCACGGCTCAACCTGAGATAAAGGAAATGCGTTAATGGACGTCGGTAACCCCGAGTACGCTCTTACACTACGTTACGACGAGGAGCAAAGAGGACGTCGACGGTTTCGCTTCGACCGTATCGCCAGGTTTAAGTAATAACAATGAGATACCGAAGTCACAGCCAACAGTCTTACGTTGAAACGAGGAGGTAATCATCCGCCGTGGCAGCAATAGGAACAAGACAAAGCAAAAGTATGAAAGAAAATATGGTTAAAGTTCACAATGTATCTCTTCACTTCCTCTGTACATTTTCGAGCTCTTTCTAGTTGGACTTTGTTATTTCATCGAGACACGGCATCTACAAATTGGCGAGGTAACAAAGGCTGTGAAGGTAGTTTCGTATGATCCTCTATAAAAATTCATATCGAAGTATGATGTATATTTATGGTAGAATACATACGATCGTGGTCAATCAGTAATTTCTTTACCAATCAACCAGACTCGTTCCTATACGACTGAGTCGTGCAAGTTTATATCTAGTTCGTATTATTGTATTATAACTATTCTTATAGTGTTATTGTTAGTTATGTTATTAACAGAAATGGTATGATAGACGACCGTACAATGAATGGTTAGTTTTAGAAGGATGCAACTAGTCTCTATAGGATCAAGTGTTATAGAATAATTTTTAATATGACAAACTATATTTATGTCAGTCAACACAGACAATAAATGAAGTAACCGAATGCATATCTATAAGAGCTCACCAATCGACCGAGTAATGTTGAAAAGAATACAGAGATCGTGCAAGGCAGGTGGAATCCAATACATGAATTAGTTACAGCCAATCTCAACACTGATGATGGATGAAACCAAAAATGCTAACGTAAACCCAAAAGGGAAAGACATGCCGTGGCTCCTGTTTTACCCGATCAATTGCATGTTGCTATTGTATAATGCTCCGATACCGCCCTTTTTCTCTGGCACGTTAATCCACTGACTATGGTGTGAACGATACTAAACATTAATATTTACCACACTTTTAAAGAGAATAATCCTTCGTGAACAGGTAAGATGAAAAATAATAAAAGTTCAGAACATCGGCCAGAAAATGTTTAAGGATGAAGAATCTTAATGTTGCCATTCTTTCCAATTACCGCCAGCTAGGTAAATCATGCATAGAAATGATGACGATAAAAGCTGCATGCAAAATTAGTTAGAGAAAAAGTACAAGTGGGTACAAATATACGATTACACGTTTGGACAAGAAAGATATACCAAAGCGACTCCCTTTGATCGTTAAATCATTAAACCAGGAAGTAGATGTACTTTAACGCATGACAATCGACGACGATGGAGGAAGAACAGTCTAGAAATAACTATAGTGTCGCATCGTCAAGCGATTCGGCTCCTATACGATCGAGTCGTGCAAAGCGGTATCGGATGAAGCAGATTACTCTAGATATCGCAACTATCCTAATCCGTGACATCATGGTTAGAGGGGTTAAAAAGGACTGATATAAGCCCAAAAGAGTTTCATTACCAAACAACACGACTCTTTCCTATACGACCAAGTCGTGGGAAGTGGCATCGAGCGTGGCATATCGTCCGACTACTGTCATAGCCGATATCATCATTACGAGCAGGACAGATTAAGAGGACCGACGTAGACCCAGGAGAGAAAGACGTCCCACGGCATTCTCGTCGTGGAGCTTCTTCTACTCGGTCGACTGCATCTCGCTCTATTGCATAACGTTCTGGTGCGGACACCTTTCCCACCTGGCACGTAAGGGTCCACTGGCTGCAAACATCCGCTGCACCGAACGTCGATGTTTACCGCGTGCACCAGGTGAGCAACCTCGCATGGGATGATTTAGGGTGCAGTTACAGGTATGGAGTGGAATTGCCAGGGAGCGTCGAGGGAGAAGAAATATCGGACGTCTAAAGACCCTCCAGCCTTCTCCGTCGTTTCCAGGAGCCGTCGCGACGAGCCGGGAAATCCGCGAGCTTCACGCCCCGAGGTTATTGCGGGAGGAAACGTGCGAAGCTAGGAGCAGAAAGCGGGAGCGAGAGAGACGGACGAAGTCGGTGGCGGAGAGCGGGAGAGAGAGAGGGAGAAACCGCGAGGAATCGGTGCGTCGAAACGTGCCAATACTCGCGCGGATGTATAAATAAAGGGAGAAAATCAAGAGCGCGGCGGAGGGGCGCGGGAGCGAGACGGGCAAGCGGCGACGACGAGAAAGACGAGAAAGATCGAGCGGCGACGCGGCAAAGAGCGGCTTCGGGTCGCGCGGCGGAGAGCCACGAATGCGGTTAACGTACAATGGCGGAGCCGTTCGCGCAATAAGTGTCCTCGCGAAGTTCTGTCCTCTTCCTCACGGCTCGCCGGGAAGCGGAAGGGAGGCTGGCTCGCGCAATCGATGGGCGATCGCCGAAGGGACAACAAAGCGGGCGGCGCGGGCGGCGCGCGCGCGCTGCTGCCGAGGAACGCGAGTTGGGAGGCAGGACACACGCCGAGAACGCGGCGCGGCGCGACACGACGCGCGGCGGACCGTACCTCGCGTCTCGGAGTGCTCGAGTGACTCGAGCCGAGCGATCGTCACACCCGATGCGCGACGACGCGGCCAAGGACCGGGAACGCGAGGGATCTGGAGAGCCGGGACGGCCGAAAGGAGCGCCGGGGGTGGTGGAAAAGGGAGGTGCGACGCGACGCTCTCGCCTCTGTCACGCTCGCGGCCGAATCTCGACGATCGCGCACTCACCGCGACGGGCCTGTCTATCAATAATATAGACGCGAAATCGAGCCACTTCGTTTCTGCTGACACAACCAAACGAAACCGACCAATACTGCGGCGCAGCTACCGGATGTGGCCTTCGCGCCACCCCAGCCAATCCGACGGCTTCCCGGGCCCGTTCCACCGAGCCGCGAGCGGTCGTTGAGTGCAGAAACGCGCAGATGGGAACCGAGATGGGAGGGGATGCCCGGGCCGTTCTACCGTGGGTGCAGCGGTTAGGCAGATGGTTCACGCTCCCCGCTTTCTGGCATCGATCGCAGCGCCGTCACTCTCATCTAAGCACACGTCATTTCAAAAGATCGATCGTGGTTGACGGATAAAGGCTCGTGTTCACGATCGAAGAATTCTCCAATTTTCTTACTTTCTCTTGGACGACATAGGAAAATAGAGGGGCACTTCCGCCGTGCGTTCCCTACAGCCAATCGAAACCTCGTTCGCTCCGTCGTACGACGCCGTCGGATGAATGAAATCTCCGTTATTGCAAATTTAAAAAGTTACTCTTTTCGAATGACTTCGAGTAGCAAAGGGGATTAATTTTAACCCACTGTAAAGAGAAATGTATTGACGAATCTAATTCTTTTTGAATAACCCATGTCCAGTTGGATCAAGAGAATCTTTATTACTTCCTGTATATTTTACAGTTATTCTTAATAATTCACATATTTTTACTTGTTTCATTCCTACTTTTTAGTCACACGTAAAAATCGTTTGCATTATGTAATTTCATTGAGATGATACCGATGCAGCTCCACACCTGAAAAACACTCAGCGATATGGATGTAACGTACAGTAATTCCGATTGACATTAACATCAAACGGGTAACAGCATGAAATCAAAGTTTTCGGTTTTGTTATCGGGTCAAAAGTGCTTTCTACAGTTATTAATAACTCGGCAACGTGTTTCTGATATCGATAAGTATGTGTAGCAAGTATCAATTAAATAAATGAAAGCCACATATTAAAATAAGAATCTGAATTTACGTCGCTCTTATTACAAAACTGAAAGTTACTCCAGACCGTAATCGGTAACTTTCATTTACCATATACACGCATGATATTTGCAACATTTTATACTTACGTGATATATATCTAAATATTCACATTGTAGTTCAAATAATTCGTAAGTGCAACTAGAAAGATATATATATATTTTTTTAACGAAAATAAAACCCTCGATCCATTTATTAATAAATAATGCATATTATTCAAGCGAGGAGACAAGCCCTGATTTAAATTTTGTTACGACGCACGTTACAATTGCTAGTAACTAAGGATCATTTGTAGATCATTCTCCACTTTTTATATGTAATGTTAAACCTATATAAAAGGTTAATGGTGAGATACCACCCGAACTCATTTTTATAAGATTTTCAGAGCCTGCGATACCTCAAAGTACTTCGGTTTATTAGATTCTTGGACAGGTTCTCCTAATCTACATCGCATCGAATGGTTGTATTTTTCTTTAACTTTACTTTTGTACAAATGACTTAGAAAAATAACGCTGCAGTTGATTGGGTACGTTAAGTTTCTATAGTTCAATTGAAATGTTCGAGGACTATCGAACTTACGCATTAAGATTTTCTTGCCTCCTAGGTGTATCTTCACCATATGTCATGCTATGAAAGGATGTGGTTAACCTACTCTTTATAATTAAAATGCATTTTTTTATACATCTGGATTAGTTCTGCAAAGATGTATCTACATTTCACTATGAATCAACATTTGCTTCAAATATGGAATAATGAACATTAATAAAACACGTAGATTCGAGAATCTCTTGGCATCTAAATAATTATGAAATAAGTAGATTACATTAAAATAATGTAAAATCCTCCTCAACATATAACACTTTTACTGCATATTTAAATAATGAACATAGGTATTAACAATTAATCAAATCGATTTTTAAAGAGACATTGTTCAGATTTAAGAAGAATTATTTGATAAGACGTGAGTATAGAGTCTGGTCGCTTGAGAAAATTTCGATATTCATGAAAATATTTTTGCTTTCTTTTTAACTATCTCGACTTTCCTTGAATTCAAGTTAACCACAGCCTTTCATAATATATTACGATTACAGTTATGAACCATGAGCACATAACTCAAATAAATGGTGGCCAATTGACATAACAACATAAGTCTACTTTTCACGAAATTCAATGAAGCAACTTTTCAATTCTAGGGTCACACATTCAACGTTTAAAGTAAGAAATAACAGGACCGCTCATTTCTGAAATGTTTAAATAATTAAACTTTCTAATTTCCCACATTACCTGATAGTATTTCAATGGTGCAGTATAACATGTAGAATGATTACATATCCCCATTAATTATTTTTTATACAGCATTTATCTTCTATATTGACATTCATAAATATGGTAGGAAAGAACTCGAGTAAAGATATATTACTGTAAATATTACTATAACAATTCTCATTTGGCACCAAATGCCTTTTTTATATTTTTTCAATGGGACATACCATAAATCTTTAAGTAAGCCTCAAAATTTGTAAAACATGAATTATGTTGCTATGCCAATCAATTTCGGTTATAATTCGCAATACAGTCAGAAAATAAGTGCAAAGTGCAGGAACATTACATTCACGAGTGAGCAAATTTCGCGAGTTCTGCAATTATTTACCCGTACATCATTTTGTGTTATAGTAATGGATAATAATACGCATTCAGTTTTGCATACTAATCTCAAGTCTATTTCATATAAAGTCCTAATTACCTACTAGATAAATGAAAGAAAATTCTCCCAATAATTGACCGCAAACTAATTGAGTAATAATCGAGTTACTTATTTTAAACGGCCACATTTGTAAAAAAAAAAAAAGAAGTCAACTTAGTCAAATTGGAGAAGCTAAGTAATATGCATACTTTCAGTGTATTTACAACAATTCAAGTTATTTCCGTGATACCCAGGTATTCTGTATTTTATATTATCCTGGCAATACCATGGAAAAATTAGTATGTTCCTTGAGGAAGAGAGAGATTGCATTTAGAATAGTAACTTTAAATAAAGTTAAATAATGGTACTCTCAGCCCTCTTAAATATTTTCCACGAGTGAAAGTTTTACTATCCGAAGTAATTCAAAAAACACGAGAAACGTAAGAATTGAATATGTAACTCTACACTCGAATGAACATACCACTTAAATCCACTGGAGTAAGAAACCAAATACATAACAAATTAATTGAACTACAATAGTGAATAGTCGCTTATTAATACTTTGAAGTTGTTTTATTATGCATTATTCAAAATGTCAAATGTGCCCATCTTGTCCAATCTTTTTTTTTCTTTTGACATGAGGCTTTTTCTTTCTCTTTTTTCCCCTCGTGATTTTTTCTGTGGACATATCATAAGAATTACCATAAATATCATTGCACATTATATACACAAAAACAACGCAATTACTATACAAAAACGTATTTCAATAAAACGGACCTCTCAAAGTGCACAAGCTAGGGATAATTCTGGTTGAAAAACGGAGTTAGATTATAATGTTAAGCCTTTGATCAGATGGATTAGGTATTCGTATAAGTATCAATAAGTTAGTGAAAACAATATAAGGTCAGTTGCAATAGATAAAAGTCAGCTTATTCAAATTGTCTGCATTTTGAGAGATCCAAGCAATTATAGATAAAATGTGTCATTACATTTAAACGTAATTCAGCAATTAATAGTATTCTGTAAAAAAATGTTTAAATGAGTGTCACTTAAATAGTCATTTGCATTCTCTTGACCCAGGACATTGTTTGTACGTAAGTTTGTGTTATTATTTGATTATGAAGATTAATGTAAATATACCTGTACTTGCCCATTTAAGCAGAAGACTAGACTAAAACACATTGCCTTTTAGTCAACGTTTCAAAAATAAATAACAATATAAACTTTAATGGACAACTATCGGTACATTTGTTTTATTCTCTTTGGTAAAAAAAAAAATACATATGTATACGATATGGAATTCGTCTTAGAAAGAAAGACAAATTATTATACCGTTGAAGCTATTGTATCATCAATATTGGTAGATAGCCTTTCAACATACCAACAAAGGTAATGTATAGGCTAAGAAATAATTTTGCAGCCAAATACATTACCACCATATCGTAGTTTTGTTAAAGAGCTATGTACACCTGGAGGGTCGAAAAATTCGTGTTCATAAATATTGTTTTCATTAATATTACGTTTAACGGTGAATTCTAAAAATCTGATTTAAAAAATTGTGAAATTGGACAACATTATTGCCCTTGTTAACTAGTCAGTCGAGCAACACCAGTAGCACTGTATTTTATTATCAAAACTATGAATAATTTGTTCAGGTATTTTTTCAACAGTACAGCTATAATCAGTCATAGTTTCCATTCTAATTGATTGTCTGTAAAGTTTTGAACGAGTACCACTGAGGATACTTAATAATTGTTACCAACAGTGCACTCGAGTAAAACGTCAATTCATGAAAATTTCAAATGGAAACTCGCACTAACTGTAGACATACATATAGATATGTAATAAATAGACTCAGGTATGAAAAAATACTTAAAAATTAATCTCTTATAGTCAATACAACTATGCTGCTCATACATTGGTTTCCGCCACTCTACAACACGTAAAATATTTGAAGAAATTAAAACAAGTTAATACTTTTACCACAACTGAGTGCAAACATTAATCACTTAAGAGTTATCCATGCAAAAAAGCGTAGCTTTTTACAGTGGCCATAATATTGCAATAATAATACAGTGGTCATCGCCAGGCATTAGAAATACTGTAAGTTTCCGAGAAGAAAAAATGACATGAATGGTCACTAAGTGTGTCTGAATGTTATAATATATAAACATTTGACCTGTAGAGCGTTTACACAAGTCATGTGCACCTTGTATCTCCAGATACAGGTACGTCAACATGAACACTGAAACGCGTATATAATTGTTTTGTTCATAAATCTGTCGAAAAATTAATAATTTTAATGCATGATACAGTTCAGTTATTCTATACAGCATAACCCACAGTTCTACAAATGCAATGTAAAGAGATCAATCGAAGAAAGTACGAACCAGTATCTATATTTGTTATTAAATTTTTAACTCTAGAACACATTGATGGAGATGCGATATAGTAGTTTATTGAAATATTTACGAAATTGACGTTCTTTACAATACTTGATAATTAATGTACCACATTGTACGGATATTTAAAAAATATATATATCCACATTTAATAATCATTTTTTATAAGGGCACAAAGAAAACGTTCTGTTTAAACAATGTAATATTTTAACCATCCTATTTTATAATGATATATACATTTTCATATCAGTTTTAGACATTTTGTACAACAGTTACCAAATACAGTAAAGAAACATCAATTTGGTAAAATTAATTGGTAAAACCGTACTCTTTCACGATATTTGAAATACTGTTATCACGTGATTCTCTGTGTGATATGATGGAACATGTGGGTTTAATTAAAAACCACAAAATGTTAAAGTTTTTGAGTAGCACATTTTTCTTTTGTGCCAGGAGATAAAACTAGAAGATAAACAATGGCACATCAAATTCTTTATAATCAAATGTTATCATTTTTACTATTTACGCGGGCATGCGTTGCATCGTTTTATTGTCTACCTTCAACTTCAAAAAAATATAACAATCAAGAAAAAAGAACATTTACTTACTCCGTTAACTATTTTCATTTATGGTATTAAATAAAATTTTAATTATTATACATGTGTAATTCAACTTACCCTTAAACCAAAATGATGAGGTGATTATCTAGGGCCGTCAGTATGGCATGTAATAACCACGTCGGTAACTCCTGTAACAGTATTTGTACTTTGTTACAATTATTTAACTGTAGTATGTTTGTATTTAATGGACTTTTTACTTTAGAAATAATGCTGAAGAAAAATAAAATTACAGCATAAAATAAGATTATCAAAAAACTACAAACGATTGAAGAAACGAATATGACGTTTGACAGGCCATATTCAAAACTGTAGACATACATTTATATACATATTTAATGACGTAATTATTAAAATACCTACAATTGGATTATTTAACACCACTTAAGTATTTAAGAGCAGCTGAATAATTACACAAGAGTTAATTTAAGAGAATAATTACGGCAAGTACAGGATCAATAAATAAGTTTGGAAATGACTGAACCAAAATTGTTCTATATTCATTTTGCCATATTCTAATTATTATATCTCTAATACTACATTAAGGTGTTAACGATGAACGTATAACGATTAAATATATTACCGAGGTCGTCTGGCTGGTCTGTATCCAAAATAGGCACTACCGCGTCCAATTCCACGGGCCATTCCTCGATAACTACGTGCTCCTCTTGGACCCCTGAAAAATCAAAAGTTTTATGTAAATTTATAAGCGAATAAAAACAGGAATGTAATGGGTTGAATCAATGTTGTTTTATCAGTGCATTCACATTTGTATGCAGGGAATGGCTTTCATAATTCTAAATACCTGTTAGTCATCGACATCCCTGGTCTGTTTGTTCGTTTAGGCATTACTTTAATCTGACGTCCTCTAAACATAGACTCATCCATGGCCATCGCTGTTTGGACAGAGTCTCGATCCGCAAATTCAATGTAGGCGAACCCTTTGGGATGTCCGTCAAATTTATTGCATAAAATCGTTACTCGGTTGACACTTCCACACCCATGGAAATGTTGCTCCAGTTCTTCTGCTGTTGCTCCATAATCAACCTTAATATAATAAATCATTAAATAGTATTAAAATTCATTCGTTTTATGCAATTTGAAAAACAGTACAAGTACTGAGCACAATGTAGTAATCAGAATTTTATATCACGAAATTACTTACATTTCCAACATAGATTGATCTGTTGTCCACTTCCATTTTGTCTTCCATAGACATATTTAGTGGGCTAGCTGTAATCAAAATAATTCATTTCTTAATTAACTTACGTTTATTAAAGAAAAATAATAGTTAATATTTTAAGCAATTAATACACAAAGTTAAGGTTTCCATCTAAATTTTGTTGTACGTTTCATTTAAATTTTCTTTACCTATCTCAAATAAACTGTAATAATAAAAAAAATGATTACATTTTACCAACATTTGTACTATTGAATGATGAAAGTACTTACTTATACCGGGAGGACTGCCCATATTCATTTGTTTATCCACTTCGGACTGCAGCTGTTTCAATTTTTCAGCTTCTTCTTCCATCTCTCTAACGCGTGCTTTAATGGCCTCCAATTCCTGTATTTATATTTAACTTAAAAGTGTGATCCATTTCAGCTATATATCCAATAATAGCAATAATTAATAGTAGCAGTAGTAATACACGAATAAGAATAAGTACTTATGTAAAACAGTTTTTTACAGAAATGATAGAAAAATGACACTTAGAATTATAATTTATAAAACTATGTATAATCTTTATGACTGTTAATTTATAATAGTTATTAAGACGGTCATTAATTACAAATTTTGTGGTTTTCTTTGAATATCAAAACCTGAAGTAGATTTTTTATCAAATAATTTTTAAGGACTTACGTTTCTGCAAATTCTACGAAACCTATCTTTCATTATTATATTTAACATCCATTAAATCTAATTATAACTAATGGACAATTAAATAAAAAATTGTAATTGTCCACAGAGAAATTTTAACAAGAACCAATTAAGAATGACTACCTGGCTTCATATAAAAAGAAAATTAAATCAACATACTGGGTCGTCAGTATTGGCTTCACTAAATTCACGCTTTACACCATCGCACTGTGCTATTGAATCACCGTCCTGCCCATTTTCGAGTCCATCAAAACCATCGATTTGGTCAGTTGACAATAAATCGGTCTCGGACATTTCTGGAATACAAATTCATATTCAATATACACTTAACAACCATGCAACATATATAATAGATTCGCATTACTTTATTCCTAATTGTATCAAATAACTGCATCACTTATGAAAAATATCAATTTTTTTTAAACATGTACGATACTGTTTGAAAAACTATTACGAACTTCTTATTTTTAATTTCTCCACCCATACTTTTCATACAAAAGTTCAGTTGTGAAAAGATAAAGGTGAGCGAGATATCAGAATGTATGTAGAATAAAATAACGGTAGGACTAAAGGCAAGAAAATTAAAGTTTGCGTTTCTACTAATATCAATCGTATATATAGAATGTTTGATAATATATGACAAACATTAAATAGAAAAATAATATCGCCGGAATTGAGGAAATTTATGTAGTAGTATCGATATGCTTAGAAGTTATAATAATAATAACAATAAGATAATTGATGAACTAACCGGGAAAGACCTCCTGCAGTACTTTGTGTTTACAAGCAAGGAACTGTAATCCTACAAATAATGAAATTCATTTAAAAAAAAAACGTAAATTATGAGTAAATTTAGTCATGGAAAGTTTGGCGTAACAACTCATTTACCGGAAGAAATCGTAGCCGGGGGTGTCTTGCTATTAACTAAAATACAGCAGTGCTTACGATTTCATAGTATGATCCGACACTCTCAAAACTACCAAAAATACGTACGTGTTATTGCCTCGATACTTTCGGGGATTTTGTTCTTCAATTTGTCTACAATTTAACGCTTACAAACTTTAAACTTTACAGCAATGCCAGGAACTAGCAACTACACAATCGATGAATACTCCAACAGTGAACGCAGCCCATGGTCAAAAGAGAGAAGGTATGCCAATGTCCGGTATATCTTTTCATTCTCCTGCGCAACTCCGAATTGCATCGCGTTCTTTCCGTTAGATCCAGAGATGAGTTGGAAGATTGCTCACGGGCAGGGTCGCGCGCTTAGGCGTGCGTCATTTCCGCCACAGTTTTGATTGGTTATCCATCCACGACGCGTGAAGTCGATATTTCCAGATATTTCATTAGCGCTACCGTAACAGGCTGATATTTCATTAGCGTGCATTAGCGGTACAGCGACAAGTGACGAAGCGCAAATAAGAGGTTATGATCGCCTGCAGAGAAACAGAGGAATGGAGGAACTTCCGCCGTAAGTTCTCTGCAGCCAATCATAACCTCTTATTCGCGCTTCGTCGTTCCGGGGCTTACCACTGTAGCGCTAATGAAATATCGGCTTAACGATTGGTTCGGATACCTGCGAAGGAACTAGGCACATCACTACGTAACTTCCGCAAAGACGACTCCGCCAGTACCTCTCAGGTCAAAGTATTAGTTATTGCGTTGAAGCAGGTGTAAGTCGCTCGTGGACTTTAGTGACATTAGTTGGTTTGATACAATTAGTTTGCTGATCCGATCCACTGAATTTCGGTGGGACGATGAATGGTACAATGGCCATGGTAAGTATACCTTGCTCGTACATTAAAAGATACGTATGAGTCGAGTTTCTCTTGAAGCAGGGCGGTAGCTTGGGTTTCCGTCATGGCGATCACTACATGTTTTTGCAACGCTACCAATAATCCTTAATTCTTGCGAATGACCGTTTAATGTGTAATTCTGTGATCGTGGGAATACTATTCTGCAAAGAGATTATTATCAGGGAGTCCATCTGAAACTTTTTCATTCATTGCTTCAAAATTCCTTGTGGTGGTATTGATTTTTTCATCTATCAATATTATTTTATTACTTATTTGCAATATTAAACATTATACTTTGTAACGAGCGTAAGCTTTCTTACTTAAATTGATATTCTGATGTTAGCATGTCTGATATATTCTTATCTACTGTGTGTTAGTATAATCTATCATCCGTTCGTTTGCATTACCGAGAAATAGATTACATCTTAATTTTTAAAGTTCATTGACATTGGTTTTATTTCCTAAAAATCAGCAAATCTATGATACCTAATTTGGTTGTTATGATAAAATTTACAGTAGCTTGTACTAGATTAAAAGTATCTATTCGTTTCTTATACTACAAATAAAATTTGTTATAAAATATTACTTTTAACTTTGACGTTTTAATTTATAGGCACCGGTATCGCAAAACATGGAACCACCAAACAAGAAGCCACGAGTTGAAGGTACATTGCTAATGCAGACAAGTAACGCTACTCCCTTATTCTATAAGAGATTGTACGCTTTAACGTGTACTGGTGAAAAACACAGGAAATGGCAGGAACGCCAGGGAAAGTAATGTTTTATCCTAATGAAGGAAATCAAGAAGATAAATAGCTCGCAGCTTAGATAGGACAGTTAGGAGCTAGCATTTATGACGATGCTAATTACTATAGCGTGCACTTGTAATTATGGTTCCTGACTAGTTGAGGTTTTGGAGTAAAATTTTGGTATGTTAGGGTAGTAGGCGACCAATGGCCTTGAATCAAACTAATGTATGGTTGTCCTTCTGTTCTGAGATGTTACAGCGGAGAGACAGTACAGAATCTGTGGCCTTCGACTGAGCTGTGATCATGAGCGTGCGCCAAACAAAGAAAGAGAACTCTACATTCGTTGAACAGAACAAATCTGAGTTTCTCAAACTCCTACTGACACAGCATCTAATGTCGAGTACCAAGTACTCGCAATGATTCTAGATAGGTTAGCATTATAGGGTAGCTCACTTTTCAATCCTAACTATGAGTCTCTTGATAAAGTAATATCTGCGAAGTAAGGAGTACATTTTGAAGAAATCATCAGGCAGTGCCTGCATGCTGGAATAGGTATTTTTATATCCCTCTGACCCTTTACGATCGCACAGTTTGACAGGATCTACAATAGTTGTACAGATTGCATTTTTTACAGCATTATTACACGTGGATCTAAATTATTAATTTACAGGAATCAAAGGGAAATTCAACGTCGCTCTCTTTCCGTGTCAAATATGTTTAGATATAAAACACTTTTGTTATCATCAAACTCGAGTAGCATATATTTAAATGCACAGTTGTATTGCGTAATCACTGCAGCAATCGTCGCTTGGTAGTGCTACGTGTTACAGAATCTCAATAAATTTACTTTGCAGATCTGTGCTTATTAACTAATGATCAGGGTAAATATTGCATATTATCAGTAAATGGATTTCAAAGAGACTTGTACTTAGACCTGGCAGTGGCGATGTACAGTGTCACAATGTTTTTATTTTTTTATAATTTGTCATTTGGCCTAAATCCAATTTGGAGCAGGTAAGCCTCAAACATCTGCTGGACATAAGAAGCACTCTCGTAAAACCAAGAATGTAACGATAATGCTCACAATCGCCATTGCTCCATGAAAGGGTATAGGGATTAGCTACGTGTTTAGGTTGGAGAAGGCAAGAACTAAGAAAATGGCGCAGGAAATGCACTGAGAGTATTCTCCTTTGCTTTGTGCTTACAGATTTCTGCGTCGCATCAGTCTCTCGGATAATTTGTGCGCGCGACCTTCGTTGCTCAGCCCCAAACACGGTTAGCCATTAATCGAATGAGCAAAGATAACGGTCATAATTCACAAAGCTCCAAAAGTAAAAGAAAATAGAGATTCAAGAGAAATCTTAACGATACGTTACAACGTGTTCTGATTTCTGTTTCAGAGACTAGCAGTACCAAATTGGTCACGATCGAACGAAATCTTTTGATTATATGAAATCTTTAGATCGCGTCGGTTGTATGTCTGGACAGGAACTACGTTAGAGCAAATATTAAAGATTTAAATTCTGGCTCTATTTAAGAAATACCACGAAATTAACCCACTAACTAATTTTCGTTAATAACGGTATATCATCTTTGATGGCAAGCGAACGATTATTAATTATCGTTTGTCCTATCTGTGTACATTCATTCTGATATTACACTCTACTACTAAATCGCGAGTACTTTGATTGTTTTAATTTCTTTAAACTTACAGGCGGAAGGTCCAGCACAGGGAGACGCTGCATCCACGTCATTGCTTTTTTTGCACTTAAACTTTTCCACCCACCTTTAGTACATATACTCATATATGTATAAAAAATGTCGGCAATATTTGCCGTTAGTCAACCGAATGAAATTCGAGAATTTTTCCTGGCTTTCGAACAACTCAGCGTAATTGAGAGTCCTTTGATGATTATTGTCTATCGCTATTCTGTTTCCATCAACTTGAACTTTTGCACGATCCAGTTATAATATATTGAATATATAACGCATAAATGAATATTGCTGTTCAAAAATTAAACCAGCAGAATATCGATATAAACAACATGACCTGTTTTCAAGTTTGTTTAACAAACTACCTCTTACAGAAAAATTAACTAACAATAAAATTTATGTAAACTTGAATATTAAATGTTTGCATTGGATCTTAGTAATACTTCTACCGTCAGTAAAAAACCACAGGAAAGAGAAATATGACTTGACGCAAATGAACCCGTCATATAGCGTGGCGGTGGAAGTACAAAAGGTACTTGCTTATAATTAAATATCTCTAATTCACTATTTCTTTATAGGGAGTGCAACGGACTTCTTGCCAGGTCCCATATATGACCTCAATCAGACGGGGCAAGTTATCGCAGGTATGCAATAAGACTATATTCTAAATTCTCTATTACCATTTGAGAATTAAAAGACGTTTTAAATTCGTGACTAACTTTTAGTTAACAATAATTAATACCTCTTATATTTTGAATTTATTATTAGTAGCTTTACATGTGATGTACACCAATAATGCATGACGATTGTTGAGTCTGTTTTGCTAATAATTAGCGAGATCGATTCCAATCCCGTGGACTTTTAGCTGATAAGATCTGATGTTTTCCCTTTTTAAATTTAATTTTCTTACTTAAATGGGCATTTTTTTAAAAAACGCTTTCCATTTCCTTCCAGGTCCGGGTGCTAAGTATTTGACATTGCCTGGGATCCTGGGTGCCGGACTGCCAAAAATATCATCGGAGCAACAGGACACAGTTAACAGAGCCAAGAAATATGCTATGGAACAAAGTATAAAAATGGTTCTAATGAAGCAAACATTGGCCCACCAACAGCAGGTAGCCCAGATCTTAAGACTAATAATCTTTGCTCGCCTAAAACATGTGATTTCTCTTACGTATTGTGCACTTCTAAAGCTTTCAAACAAATCGTATCGAAAAGTCAAGTAAATTCTCAATGCGATAGACATGTTTAGAAATGCACTATATGTTAGAAGCGAAATCAGCAAGGCACATTTCTTAGATTCTTACTTTGGTTCAAAGTTACTGATCATATCGAGTCATTCAAAGTGTTAAAATACATATGACATTTCCAAAACATGGTGTACGGCATCTAGCTCTCTGCCAATTATCTGCATATACTTCGTAAAAAGAAAGAACCAATCTTTGATCGGCTGATTTTCTCTCCCCGCAGAAGAATAAGTTGGTCCTGCGGCAGCAAGTTTTATTACTAATGTGCAGGTCAGTGTCAATCAAATCAAAAAAAGAAACCCATTCGCATTCTCATAACATATTGGATTTTTCTAAACGTTTCCTTGAGTTGATTTACTGTATAGAAAGGTCAAAGTGTTTGAGATATAGTCGGCGGGAGCAGAGCTGTACCAGTGCGAGGAGGACAAGCTTTAAAGAATGAGTCTACAGACAATTTGTATGCGATAAGAAGTTACACTTCTGAGCTCGACTCCGTACCGTTTTGGTATATTTCTGTCATTGTGATTGCATTGCGTCAATTTGGTTTGCACTTGCTTTTGTTACGTACATTGACTTTTCGACCCTGATCAGTGCTTTTCGATTAAAGAGCTCGGAGGTCATTTAATGTAAGGACAAGATGTACATGTTATATCAAAGGGATAGGGATACCAATGGAAGGCCTATGATACTTTGTGTTACAGCAAATGGCTAGTCAACGGAATCAGGTGCAGCGACAGCAGGCTTTGGCCCTCATGTGCAGGTTTGTTTGTTCTTAGCTTTAGACCTCCCAAAATCATTCCTGACGCCTCTCCAAGTGACATCCAAGCTGCCTGCGTCATCCATCCACCTTAACTACTTATATGCAATAACTATACATATACTTTTCACCATATTCTATTTTTAGATCCAATATCTCCATCAGCTCAAGCGAAGGTGTTTATGAAACAAAGATTCTCAATGCTTCTCCAGAAGTGAACATATTTCCCTAAACACTGTTGGACCGATACTCAAGATTTATACCTTCGCTACAGCTACAAACTTTTTTTTGCATGCAATTTTGGTTAATCAAGGCACAAATGTGAAATGTATTTTTCAATGCATTTATTACAATCGATGAGATAGTCTGTTTATGACTGTATCGTAGTGTATGTGATTGATTGACCAGAATTTGAATAATTAATAATAGCGTCATCTAAAGTTCTGAGTATTTAGTGATTCCTGTTTGTTGTTAGTATTTCAATGAACGCTATTTCATGAGGAATAGTGCACCTCGGATGAATGTTAAGGTAGTTGGGTAACTTGGTCGAATCAGCGAATTACTGACAAGATTATAATATTTAATATATCCTGTAATTACGAGCAACAAACAAGGAAACCATCGGAATGTCCTAATGATATGTTTTCGCTCAAATTCCTGAATGGGATGTATCTCATAATGGTTTCTCATGCGACAGGGTATACGTGGGCAGTATCAGCTTCGAGTTAAAAGAGGACACGATAAGACAGGCCTTTTTGCCTTTTGGACCTATCAAATCGATCAACATGTCCTGGGATCCCGTTACGCAGAAGCATAAAGGCTTTGCGTTCGTCGAGTACGAGATACCGGAGGCTGCACAACTTGCCCTCGAACAGATGAATGGCGTCATGATTGGTGGACGCAACATCAAGGTAGCGGGGCGTACCTATATAACGAATTTCCCGTTCCCGCGCAATCCTATCAGCTCGCCGGAGGTCGGCAAATTTTTATTTAGTTTCTCAAAATACTTGATTATACTGTAGTCTGGCTCTAACGTAGAACTTCGTCTAAGACAGTCCCCTGTCGTAAGACAATATCGCCAATCGCATGAGCACCGCTCGTTTGCAATGTCAATTTAACAATTCCTTGCAAATATTATGACACCGTTTGTCTTACAGCAGCCGGACTGGATATTCATTATAAATTCGCATCGGAAAACAGTAATATCTAGTCTAAGTTGTACATATTATTTTCAAACTCTACAAATCGCGTTATCTTCCTCCGATAATGTATTGCATATCCGTCTCACTCATTGACGAGAGCGTTGTCATTGATTAATATTTCCATTACACGTCGAGAATGAACTTCTATCCGGCTAATTGCAAGTACTAATACCTGGAAACGTAATTCTACATATTTGTTGATCAATTTAATATCACTGGGAATCATTTCTGTGTCTTCCCACAGATATTCTTGCAGAGTGGCAACGGTATACGCCGATGAGACCGTTCGACGATGTGCCTACCTTTCGGATACTAAGACACTGTAACACCTTAACCGATCGATTCTTACCATTATTATTCCATTTGTCTTAGACGAGTTTAATTCCCTTTCTGTTGTTGCAATTCCTCTGTTAACGACTTCGCTACGGAGTCTCAACGTTTCCGTGCCTTTCCAGGTGGTGGGACGGCCATCTAATATGCCGCAAGCTCAGTCGGTCATTGATGAGATCACCGAGGAAAGTAAGCATTATAATCGCATTTACATCGCCTCCATACATCAAGACTTAACGGAGGACGACATTAAGTCCGTTTTCGAAGCTTTTGGGCCTATTACGTATTGCAAACTGGCACAGGGTAGCTCGCCCCACCGACACAAAGGATACGGTTTCATCGAGTACGAGACCATGCAATCCGCTTTAGAAGCAATTACGTCTATGAATTTGTTTGACTTGGGTGGACAGTATTTAAGAGTTGGCAGAGCGATCACTCCACCTAACGCTCTCATGGGACCGCCCAGTGGGACTAGCATGATGCCCACGGCTGCGGCTGTTGCTGCTGCCGCTGCTACTGCCAAAATTCAAGCAATGGATGCAGTGGCAAGTAACGCCGTTGCGTTGGGATTGACCAAACTCGGAGCGACCGCGCCGCCCATCTTGAATCAGGGTAAGGCTCTTGTACATCGCAAATATTCTCTGAAGCTTCACAACGGGACATGAATGCTGTCAGTTAAATGTATTATAAAATGGTTGCCTAATAGATGTCATGTAACTTCCAGCCTTGCCCGGAATTGTACGACCAACTATTACCCCAGCAACGATAATGGCACCCCCAGCTGTAGCTACTATTTCTCCGGTGATACCTCCGCCTGGTATCGCTATTCCTCAGACCTTAACTAGACCACCAGCTATTATTCAGCCGATTCCAGGTCAACCGGTCGTTATACCACCCCCTGCTATTGTAGCACCCACTGTAGTCGGTGCGCCAATCGTGAGTCGATTAATTAATACTATGTGAGAATGCATTTGGGAAGGAGGAGGTAGGGAGGAAAGAGAAAAATATGTGTATGTTTTGTAGGTTCCTGTCGTTCCTGTAACCACCGCCACTGCCGCCGCCAACACCGATATCATGAGGCGAGCGCAGGAACAAGCGGCGCACCAGAAGCAACAGGAAGAATTACAGAAAAAACTCCTGGAGGAGACTGAGCCGCAAACGTTGCAGCAACAAGAAAACATGTCGATCAAAGGACAGAGCGCGCGTCATCTCGTTATGCAGAAATTAATGCGCAAGGTCGAATCGCGCGTTGTGATTCTTCGGAATATGGTCGCGCCGGAGGATGTAGACGAAAGCCTGCAGGAAGAGATTCAGGACGAATGCTCAAAATTCGGCGTCGTTGAGCGCGTTATCATCTACAACGAGCGACAGTCCGAGGATGACGAAGATGCCGAAGTCATTGTAAAGATATTTGTTGAATTTTCACAGATGAGCGGTGAGTACAGGGCGTTTTGTAGACTTGTATGAGGAATTCTAGCCGTGTCACCGATAAGCGTGATCGCGTGAATCATTTCGGTAGTTGATAACAAATGTGGGTGATTTCTTTTCAGAGGCGGAACGAGCAAGAGACTCGCTCAATGGTCGTTACTTCGGTGGTCGATTAGTGAAGGGTGAATTGTACGATCAAGCCCTATTTGACAACAGCGATTTCTCCGGTTGACTCCACCACTTCCGTCGGTCAGCTCCGAATTAAAATATGAGATTTCCCTCGGGGAAGGATCCTTATTGTTGTCTATAAATAGTGCACGTCTGAACAATATTCGGAAACTTATGATGCGAATTTTCAGTCCGCGGTACCTACGTTACTGTTAAGACCGGACTCAGAATAGTAGTATAATTTACAAGCTATCGTAAATTCTCGCAGGGCTCTACACACAGACACGTTGAGGTCGAAATTAATTAGTCGGAATTCGGTATTTCCGCGACAGCTACGAGCAGATCAAAACATTGTTTCCGAATGCGTCGGACTACTTTAGTTCGCCAGCGGGAACGTACTGAATCAATACAAGCCGCTAAACGTTTAATACTTTGTATAAGTGTAACTGCAGTACTGATTCCAATTCAAATAATGACGACCTAGATTGGCTTAGGAAATATTCAGATGTTGGTAATCGTATTGGCATAATGCCAAAGACATCGACTGCCGGTACGGAAGTAGAACGTATACACAGACTTTGGGCTAATGTAGCGACGAAATTACGTTTACGAAAGAGATATGCGATTCGTCATACATGAATATGGTGTGTCCATGTGTACATGTATAATAATAACAAGACATTAATAAATTGTTTTACATAAATGAACCGCTGACGAGTTTTTTTTTTTCTTCCCATTACGCGTGTTACGAATTGACGTTCTAAACTAGACGCGTCTATTTTTATTTCGTTGCTGTTATGCGATGTCGAAACCGGTTTTTTATTCCCACGAGCAGGAAACGTCTCATAATCTGAGACCACTAACTCGGCGATTGGTCAATCGGACATGTGGAACTATCACAGAATTATCACAGTAATCGAAACAATTTAATTTCAGCATCAAATTGAACGACCAATGAAAGCAGAGATGAGTTGGGAGATTGCTCACGGCAGAGATGACTGCTTGTATCAAACGAAGTAGTTATGTCTACGTTGAATGGCTTTCGATCTGACGCCTTTTCAGTATTGATTAGTGTGCCGAGGAAAACGTGTGGCAACGGTCTTGTTAAGTTTAATTATTTTATGATATATTTAATGTTTCTCAAATATAACTATTTTATTTAAAAAAAACAGCTGGCTTCACAGGGTATGGTTTTGAATAATGGCGCGTTAATAACGCATTCTGTGAAACAAAATGGCCGCCACCCAATCAGCTGGCATCGTCTGCTAGGATGACGGGTTGGAATTTTGGTTAATCGGTTTATTCGGAAAAGAAGTTTCTTTAAAGACACGTATTAAATGATAAGTTCAGCCCGTAACAGGAAATCGGAGACTCTCAAGGAGGCGGATCCAATGGCGCAGGAATGATACCTGAATATCCGATGTTGAAGGAACTTGTGGAGCGCAAAACAGATCGCGTGCGTCATTGACAGGTGTTTTAGGAATGTGACAAATCAGACAGGGTGTCCCTTGTTAGATTTTCCAACATCAATCTCGAGTGGCTCAAAGCTGCCGATCAGAAGATTCGGCTGTAATGAGCGACTCGGAACAACGGCAACTGCACGTGCCTTATCGAGAGTACCATAGCCAGAATAGTACGAACCCTACCACCCTGGTGGAAACCGATGCTCTGGTGGATCTGTCTGTGACGAATAATTCCCATTTACCTACTACGGATCAACCACTGGAAGCGTTGCCGGACGTTCAGTTTGTTCCAAATACAAGTAACGAGCAAACGATAACCATTGATTCCCCCGGAGCTGACCGGGAGAGCCAGCCTCTCCTCGGTAGACTGGAGTTAGATGTTACTTTGAACCGTTTCCCTGGTACGTTCCTAACTTGCACCTTTACTAACGCCTAAACGATATAAACATGCTTATCCGTTCCTTGCAGATGATCCTCAGTTTTTTGAACTGGTATGGCAAGCTGAAACGGCGATAGATAATGGAATATTCCCCGAGAGAATTTACCAAGGTTCCAGTGGTAGCTACTTTGTAAAGAATCCAGAGGGGGTAAGTGCAACAAACTAACGATGCATTTAGTTTATTTGTTGTAGGGAATCATTTATTACAAAGTTTTCATTACGTTATAAACTAGATTTTATCGTAATGCTTTCTCTGCAGAAAATCATAGGTGTCTTTAAACCGAAAGATGAAGAACCTTATGGTCGGTTAAACCCAAAGTGGACCAAATGGATGCATAAACTCTGCTGTCCATGTTGTTTTGGAAGAAGTTGTTTAATTCCAAACCAAGGGTACCTTAGTGAAGCTGGCGCAAGCTTGGTCGATCGCAAACTTGGCCTTGGTGTTGTACCGAATACAAGAGTAGTAAAGCTGGTTAGCAAAACTTTCAATTACCCACGCATCGATCGGCAGAAGACTCGTATGAAACAGGCCATTATGGATCAGTTCCCTATAGTCGGCTCTCATTTTAACCGCATTGGTTTACCTCCAAAAGTTGGCTCTTTTCAAGTATTTGTCGATGGCTACAAGGACGCAGATTATTGGTTAAGGAGATGGGAAAGTGAACCGTTGCCCCCACGTTTAGCACGGCAATTTCAACTTCAATTTGAACGTCTTGTTATACTGGATTATATTATCAGAAATACTGATCGAGGTAATTCACCATCTAAGATCTAGTACAATTAATTTATTCCATTCAGTAACAAATCTGCCACTGTTAACAGTGTTCACAGTTTTATTTAAAGCTGAATTATTTTTTAATGCCCCTGGGAACAGTCTCAGTGACTGAGTTTGCATTTATCCAAGAATTATGTGCAGCCAACTGTATTGAAATTTCTTTACAGGTAATGATAATTGGTTGATTAAGTACGAGGGCGGCGTAGGAAAAAGTGGATCTGATGCTGGTGAGGTAAAAATTGCGGCGATAGATAACGGTTTGGCATTTCCATTCAAGCATCCTGACTCCTGGCGTGCGTATCCTTATCACTGGGCATGGCTTAGTCAAGCGAAGCAACCGTTTAGCGAAGCGACTCGAGAGCTAGTCCTGCCGCAACTCTCGGATCAAAACTTTGTCCAAGATCTTTGCGACGATCTGTATCAATTGTTTAAAGTAAGACATATTGTACATTTGTCGACTGGACTATTCGCTCCGTGGAAATATCTGGATACTTGCAGAATTGCAGTTTTTTGCACATTGTTCATAACTGCATTTTATATCAATACTTTCTTCCTATCTGAACGTTGAATTCATCGTTGAGTGATTTGTTCGTGCCAATTTAGATTATATAAATTGCTGAGACAAGCTACGTGTTAAACTCAGGAAATGTGCCCGCTAGCAAAATTTTTTCCGCGTTAGCACATTCTTACGACGAGCCAGTAATATAAAGAAGTTCATATTCCGTCTTAATACAAGTTATAAAGTGCCTGCACATTTCTCGTCTGCATACGAAGGTTTTACTAACATTTGTTAATCTATTTTTACAGCAAGACAAGGGATTCGACCGGCATCATTTCGATAAACAGATGAGCGTAATGAGAGGCCAAATCTTGAACCTTCAACAAGCATTGAAAGATTCCAAAAGTCCTGTACAACTTGTTCAAATGCCTGCTGTTATAGTCGAGAAGTATGTAACTTTCGTTCACGCTTTCATCATGCTTAGATTTAGACATGTATCCTACATGTTTATTATGTTACAGGGCGAAAGGGAACGGAACGCCAAAACTCTTTTCCTTTTCCGACACATTCACTCAGCGCTTCCAAAATAAAAGTCCTTTCTTTTCCTGGTGTTAAATGGCCAGACACGAAGCGGAAGAACGCTAACAGTCAACGATGGAACTACATCACGAATCGTAGATCCGCGCCCCGCCCGTTCTACCGATTACCGGATACTCTGTTTCTTACTTCCTGTCTTGTACTAAACTCCTTCCCCGTTAGTTCTTTTCTATACCGTCATCCCTTCAGGGCGGCAGGATCGTCGTCTTCCAAATCCGGCAGTCATAATTTAATGTAAATTCTGAAATAATTTCGATTAACCGATAAGATTGCACTTGTCATCCCATGTTAGAAAGTATTAATTGCATGAGTTTAAAGGTATTATTAAAGGAAGGAAGAAAGAAAAGAAAACACGTGCATGATCGCGGAAGCATTCCATTTACATATTACTGGAGGGAAGCAGTTTACCTTTCTCGAAGACAGCCAGATTTGGAAAACGACGACTCGCGTATCAATCGTGTTTATATTAGTCAACGCTATATTTAAGAAGTATCATTTTAATTGGGATATAAATATTATTCATATTATTATATTGTATACAGTAAATATAACACGTTAAAACCACTCGCTCTTAATGTACTTAATACTCAGGTACATACGAAATTAAGAATCGAAGCAATTTCCGAATACTGTACGAATTTGATCCAGGAGAAATACATACACGTATCACTCAGAGCTTAGGGAATGATATTCATGAGGCGTAATTAAAGGAGCTCGATCGTAAACTAAATTTTGTGATCAAGGTTTGAGTACAAATCTAGATAGACCTCAGTGATGATCGTTTACGTCTCGAAGTAGAGCGAGGTAATCTTGAGAAAAAAGTTCATAGGATTGATCTCGCGCGTTTCCGTTACGAACAGCACGTATCACCGATGGCTTGATTTATGTCAAATAAGGAAAGTGTATTTGCGAGACCATGACGCATGGTACGGTCATTCGAGTATGCAAGTAAAAAATAAGTCAATCGTACACAGCCTGGAAAATCATCATTCATTTTCCCCCCGTCTCGTAAACCAGCTCGGAACAATGCTCCTCGAGTTTCAGAATTTTTTTTCCTCGGACCTCGCAAACGTCACTGTCGCGCCTTTGACGTCGTCCGGGGGATTTTATTATTTTAACATTTTTATACCTCATATATTGACGCGTATGAAATAAAAAATATTGCGAATGGTCACAGCGAACGGTGCATCCTGCTGTGCACTTAAAAGCTACCAGATCCATTTAACTCCGACAAGTCATAATGGAGGTTGTGGAAGTGCAACCGCAGAAGAGAGTACGCGTTGCACCGATCAGGCCAACCACGTGTCCCTGCACCACCAAAGTAATATTCCTCAAACCCCAGCATTTCATTTCTGACATGCATTAACTGCAAATACAAAAAATGCCCCGTAGAAGTATTACACATTTCATATATTAGACAAGCCAGTATATCATTCCTTCCACACTGATAAAAATGCCCATGTAAATTGACATACTCAATCATTGGTTATTTTGACGCTCCGTTAAAGTGTTTGTTTTAGAGTAAAACCAGGCGTAGGGTTCGCTTTTAAAATATAACAAGATATACCTTATGGATGGACTAAGTACGTCGACGTATATTATTTTTTATATTATGTACACAACGTATAGTCATTAGGATTATCAATGTCTTCGAGGCAGTGACTACAATAAATGAATTAAAAAAAAAAATCCGGTACAGTGCACCAGAAGATACATACAGCCATCCCGGGTACAATCGTTTGCACCGGAGAGGAAGTACTGTCCCCCAGCTAGTCCCTTGGACGCGAAAACGACTTATGACTTGTCATATTTAAATGTCGATAACGCCTCTCGATACGCACGGGCACATCCCTTCAGGCCGAAACCGAATTTGGATAGGTCGGAAGAAAAATTCGCCGGCGACACTACCACCAATTTAAGTTACAAACCGATCTGGGACTTCGTCAGGACAAAGCCGATCTTACCGCGTCGAAGGTTTGCGAAAAAGATAAAAAAAAGAAAGAAAAATGTAAACGTTTAATTTCCAAGCAAAGGGAAGTCGTTTAAGAAATGAATCCTTGACGCGATTTTCAGGTCGGCAGGTGGCAATGGACCCATGCAATCGGTGACGACGAATCGCCACGATTATGTCCCAAAAAATGTCCCGAGGGCAGAGACGGTCGTCCCTTGTGGGAACATCCGATCGAGCACGGGTCCTTTGGACGGCAGGACGACGATGGGTCTCTCCTTTATGGACCCAGGACCATTAGAGCCTACAATTAGTTTCAAGCCGGTATTGAAATATCAACCACCGGCGCAGCCCTATGCAAAGGATACTACGCAAAAATTGAGCTATCAGCCATTTAAAGTCGACAAGAGAGAAAGATACCCCTGGTTTGAGAAAGCCCCTTATAGGTATATACATCGAAACATGGCATACATATATATGTATAAAATATTAAAATGTAACTTTGAGATCGCGTGGGCAATTTTTTCAATTATTTTATAACCGTAAGATCGGTTTATCACTCGTAGTAGAGATGACTTTAGCGTTTCCTCGCAGACCTCCCAACACGGCAATGGATGACCAAACGACGTACACGAAGAGCTACCTGAAGTCCGAAGCCCCGACGAGAGAGAAGATGATCGTCCCCAGTGCAACGCCATTATTTCCCTGCAACAGCGAATTCTCCGGCAAGACCATTTACAAAGAGAGTTACATGCCATGTAACGCCGAAAGCGTTGTACCGATCGTACCTTGCGGAAACATTACTCTGTCCGAGCAGAAAATGTCAGGAGACACTACGAACAAGGTATACCATATATCAATGGAAATTTCTCGATTGATGAAAGGTGCTTATCCTATCTCGCCATGATTTCAGTTAAGCTATCAACCGGTTGCAATCGAGAGAAGGCTGCCAATAATCCCTGGCAGAAGGAACATGATGGGAGACGGTCCCATGCAAAGCACGACGACCACTCGCTACGATTACGTTCCAAAAATGGTCCCCCGGCCCGAACTAAAAGTTCCCAGCAATAACATCAGAATTTCGAGTCAGCCTCTCGAGGACAAAACGACGACACTCCTGTCATACATGGATCCAGGTCCAGTGGAGGCTGTGCAGAGTTTCAAGCCACCTGCAAAATATTGCAGGTGATGAATAAACAAATCCTAGGCAGCAACCGCGAGACCCTGAAGAGATCAATCGGCTTTCATGTTCCGACATCATGACCGTGAAATTGTCCATCAGTACTCGTGCCTCACCTTTACCGTCAAAAACCGTATATTACCTTCAGCCTATAAGCGTCTAAAATAATCCTTTAACGATAAACGTCTAAAAAAGATCCTTTAACGCTAAACGCGAGGCACCGATACAAGTCTCCAGGTTTTAAGATAAAACGAGTAGTCCTATGAGTACCTCTTCTCTGACTTGTGTAACTGAATATCAGGTAATTCAATGAAATTTAATTCTTCTCGTTAGGCCCGAGGAGAAGATCGAAACGGAGACCGTCAACAAACTGTCGTATCAGCCATGGTCACGGATACCAAAAGACTTCCTACCCTGGGCTCAAAAGCAGAGATACGAGCCGCCGAAAGACCGCATGGCCGGGGATACGATTTATCACATGAGTTATCCTTTGCCAGGATATTACGTGGAAGAGGACTGCGAACCGATGGAGTGTCCTTGTCCCGCGGAAGATCTCGAACGTCCACCCGCGCTCGTGGGAACGTGTCCGCGCTAAAACACGAGAGAGCCAATTAGCATGCTTTACAGGCTCAAATACTGACCGCATTTACTAAGTACTTTTCCTTAAATCATTACGAAATACAGGTATTCTCTTTCTAATACATTGTCCACCAGGATGATTTATTCGGTAATATTTCGTTGTACGCCCGAGCTCTCGCTCCGAGTTCAAATATCGACATCGGCGGATACAAGGTACAATTTGTACACGTCCAGTAAATGCATATACAAACATCGCATCTCCCTGGGCGGGCATCGGCGGCGATAATTGTACACCAAGCCAGGTTTATTTCCAATCGATATACAATACAGCTGCGACGGCGACAGAGCTAATTGCAACGACAATCCACAGTAGACATTACAAACGTCACTTAAACCGCATCGAAAAAGAAAAAGAAAAAGAAAAGCTAAAAATAAAAAATAAAGAAAGATCCTCCGATCGGTCGTCGGAGATTTCGTTTCACTAAGCATAAGTGGTAACCAATCAGCAATTGACGATCCGCGCGATATAGTTGTACATACACAATAAATTAAAAGAACCAAAGAGACAGATCCTCGCGGTTACTTTCTTCTCTTCCTCTCCCTCTCTCGCTCTTGTACTCCCTAATCCTCATAAAATTACCAAACTATCCATCCAACGCGCCGAATAACATTAACAGGGGCTGTTCAACAAAGGCGGATAAACATTAAAATTTATTGGATCACGCTACACGCTCGACGCGCGCCGCTCTCACAAAACGTTTATATAGCGATCACTGTATATATATGTATACATATATATTTATTTATATATATAGAACGCAGTTAGAATTACGTATCTATCCATAAAAGGCGGTAAAATTTCCGTCATAATAAAATAAACTCTAACTTTTTTTTTTTTTATATAAAGATCAATAGACAATATTAACGTACTACCCGTCGCCGGTGAGAACGCAGCTCGTGTCATATCGCCCGACGATGATAAATATAAAAGGACAACGACGAGTGCCCCCTCCCCCGTCTGTCGACCGGACGTTGCGGCACGTAGATTCCGCAAACGGATTTACGGCGGCGTTTCGCATGTTCGGGGCAAACGACGGATTTTACAATTGATTACTCTCGCAGCGGGCTAAGCTGCCGGGAGGGGTCGGACTATCCCCGCGTGCGCACCGACTTACATAAATCATTAATCCTTAATAACTACGCCTCTTAAAAGGAAATCAAATAACATTTGCACTAACGTTCCCTCCTTACGCGCGTATCCTCGTCGTTTCTTTTAGCGCGTGGACAATTGTAGGCAGCCAGTCGAGCCAACGATCGAGAGCTCGACGTGCATGGATATCTTGCGCCGGATCGAAGCGAAGCGTCTCCACCGAGAGAGCCGAGAGTAAAGGGAAAGAAAAATCTAGAAAACATAGGGAGAAAAAAAAAAGTGAAACAAAAACAAAACGATCGAGAAGGAGAATAAGATATAAGAAGTCCTTGTCCGTTCGCAGAGAGTTAGAAGCGCTCTAAAATATCACAATTAAGCTACGGCGAGTGTGCGAGACGTCTCGTTGCGACGCGTACTAATCATTTCCTTTATTTTTTTTTAAATATTTTTTTTTCCTCTTCCTAATTTTCACTTTCTTCTTTATTATTCTTCTCCAGGTAAATGTTGTAAGGCACGTATTTTAGATCTTGGAACACCTCGTTGTCGTATTGTACTCGTATAGTGCGCGACCGTCTTGCAAGTTGATCAGCCCCGGAGTGCACCGAACGCTCTCCCCAATCGCATTGAAATTTCTCAATTTCGAGTCATCCTAAACGCATAGAGCCGCGATTCCGGGATAGATTCGAGCGATTCCGCGCTTTGACCGGGAGTAGATCTCTATTGTCGATTTAACGTCTCTCCAGAGAGCCCGTGTATCTCCTCGCAGTTCACGCAGAAAGGGAAACTTCGTTCGTTAAACGAGACCGTTCGGCTGCATCCCTTTTAATTCCAGAAACAGTATCTCTTGGGTGAACCGAATACAGCAATCGTTTAGTCTGGCCAGATTTCGTTATCCTCGACGGACTAAAACGTACCGGCTGAGTGGTTCCGCAAAAGTTTCGGAAACACATTCCGGCGAATAGACCGAATTAATTCGATTAAATGTCCCGGATTGCTTGAACCAGTTGGCCTGACCTACCGCGATAATTGACGCAAGCTAAAGTTATATCAATGAATTGGCTTTGTCACGTCTACCGAATATCTACGATATAACCATATCCTAGGATTGAACCAACCAACCGATTGCCCTGATTCGACCGAATGTCTTATCTGCGCGTCGCGGCGCCCACGATATCAGCGCTCCGGAGAGAAGCCTAACTGGTAGAATTTGGCGAAGTAAAGCGTCGAGTAACAGAGCCTAGGGGTAAAAAGAGCTACATTGAGGACATCGACGGCCCTTTGGCGACCAGTTCCCCGCCAAACTGGAAGATCGTTATCAAGCGAGTACCCGAAGTGCGTGATTACAAAGTGGGTTTACATGATAGATATACGAAGACACTGCGTACAGATACTTTTTCAGCGAGACCGTAAATTAAATGCCCCCCCTCGTCATCCGTCTTGAATTAAGTAGCGGTCTTGCGTCCAGAATCACGAGTCTACGTCTCGATGGGAAGCGTGAAGAAGATATTCGCGTGTTTCGCCATTATCAGCCGCGAGTCGCCGTCTCTTGTTAATGGGACGAGTCGAATGATTCGATATCGTCTAACTCGAGTCATTTCTAGGGTGTCACGAATTATCGAAGTGAACGTGAGTTACGAGTGCGAAGGAGAAACCTATTTGTATCGAGACGTCGACGGCGCTTTGTTCGTTTACCCGAGTCGTTCCTTACTCCTTCAGGCCGGGTTCCATTAACCTCGGTTAAAACATTAATCCTCGGTTACAAAGAGACGTTCGTTTACGTTAACACGCGGCTAGACGATCAATGATTTAATCGACGTTGGCGGAACGGGCCATTACTCGTCAACTCGTGTCAAATTTAACTCACCGGGGTGAATTAAATTTCTTCCTTCTTTTATCGAGGTATCGACTCGAGTTGATAAAGTATTCGACTCGTCGCATCGCTAGTCGTTTTCCCTCAGACAATTCGGGGCCTCGGAAAAATCGACAGGAGTCGCTACGGTCCGGATTGGATCGTCAATGTTATACAATTAGGTTCTCCAGAAAGTTATTGCGATTTCTGCTAATTAAGATTTGACGCTTCGTTTTTAAATAAAGTTGTCTTCCCGTTATACCTATGTCACATACCGTTTTAAATCATGGATTTCATCCTACATTTTCATCCCGATAATTCTGCTTTAAATCATAGATTAACATTTTTAAGTCCCCGTCGTCGTTGGTTCGTCCAGAACTATATTTGAAAACGAAGCGTCAAACCTTAAGGGAATGCGAAAGTGGCATCCGGCATTTTACTATGTAAATAGGGAAGCCATACGGATAACCCTGGCACTTATGAAATTTCACTTTTTATGGATAAATTTTAAAAGTGTCTTTCGTATCACCTTCAGCAGCGGAAACGGCGATAACATCCTGGCCAACGCGATAGATTCGACGCAGGGCGGACGACCGGATGATCGATCATACGTACACGACGCGTACACGATGGCAGTTTTAAGTATCAGTCCTCGGGAAAAGACTTTGTGCCCGAAGCGAAACCACGGCTCGAAGGGTGATCTCGCAAGCTGCCGCTCGAAAGGGACGCCCCGAGGTCCAAGGAGTCGTAATAAAAAAGCTAGAAGTCTTTGGCAAGACCTCCCTCGACGGCGACGAGAACGCGAAAAATCAGCTGATCGCCCGCAGGGGGGCGCGCGCGTTCCTCTCCTGCAGCGCGAGGTCGCCCGAACCATATTGCACTTATCAATTGCCTATCCTAGCTTAAGAACGCGGCCTCCCGGTTGAACATCCTGGCGGCACCTCGCCCTTGTCCTACTGGTCGTGTCTGGTTATACCTCGGCATACCTCGGGTCCATCGTCCATCCGAGTCGCATCCTCGGCCACAGGGGGCGCGAGTGGAGGCGCCTCGGAGCGCGCCCTCGTTGAATCGACAGAGATCGAAAGTAAATCTAGAAGAACCGTCGGGGTACCGTCGGGTCCTCCGGCCTCCCCTCGACGTACCTATTGCGGCTTGGTGTTGTACGTCTGCATGAACTCCGAAAACCCGAAGCCATTGAGCTGGTCCAGGTTGAGATTTTCGTCGATCGACGGTAGCTCGCCGTGGGCCATCAACTCGACGTAGTCCAAGTCCGAGCTAGGTCGGCCGACCCCCGACTGGCCAAGACCCGGAGCGTAGCTACCACAAAGCAAAACACAACCCCAATCACTGGCAACCCTCGATTAAGGTGACACAAGACGCGCGACCAAAGCTGAGCCGAGGCCCCTCGGCCTCCCTCTACCTCCTCTAGGTCCGACCACCTCGAGATTGGCCGTCTCTCTCGCGAATCTCGCGATATGCAAGAGACTATCTATCCCGCGACCACGCGTGACCGAGTGGCCGGACAGCCGGTACAACACGGCAAAAGGGTACAAGCAACCACCAAAAACCACCCGGTCCAACGACGATCGGTCACTCAGCCCTCGACCCGCGCTCACAAGGGAAGGTCAGAGGCGTCATTTGCGTCTCGCAATGATTTCTCGCAGACCCTCGAGTTAGAGGGTCACTCCTCGACCTCGTCCTCTCCCGAGCCTACGGTACTTCCCTTGTGGTCGTTAGATTTACCTCCCGATGGAATACTCTTACTTCTTATTTCGTTTCAAGATATACATTGTCCTCTACTCGATTGCCAGTTAGTCTCTAACGAGTAGTGATTGGAGTTGCGTTTGTTAACGAGACTTTACGTTGGTTATGAATTTTAGCATTGTACTGTGGTTGTACCGGCTTGCTCCGGGCCTTTGCGCCTTTCTCTTTCTCTCTCTCTCTTTCCTCGTATTGACATACCCTCTCGTTTTCCCTATCTTCTCATTTTTACGCGACACGCTATTACGAATCGTACTGGCAGATGGGCCACTTAATGCGTGAAAGATCTTGAAATAATTAAGTCATGGATGAGTCGATTTGATCGAATTATGTATATATATATATGTATATAAAAAAAAATCGTTAGTTTTAAACCAGACGACTTATCTCGCGGGTCTAATTCTTACCAAAGTCAGACCAAAGTAACGATACAATAAATGGATTTCAATTTAGAGAGAACGTACGTCCTCCTTTCCAGGTGGGACTCTGAAAGCCTTAACTTAATACCTCTTATTGACCTAACGGCGTCGAAAAGCCTGCTGGATGTACATTCTATAATATGTGTGTGTGTATATATATACATACATACATATACACATATGTAATGCAGACAATATATAATATATAGATACAAAATTTAACAGCGAGTCACTATAACAGTTCCAGTCTGCTTAGATGCTCTACTTTTTCGCCACGTCGTTAACATTTATTCGCCACGTGACACCCAACACACTTTACACTACCATTTAACGTTAACTTTAGTCGGTATTGAAAATAATTATGAAAATAAAGTACAAGAATCGTAGAAATTGATGCCTGGCATCGTTATAGAAAAATCTAGAAACCGGCGTAAAAAGGCTCGTAAAAAATGCGATCACAAAATGTATCGCCAATGAGTAATAAGATAAACGCTATCAAGATTACAAGTACGAAAAGAAGTAGAATACTGATACAGTTGCTGCACGGACACAGTACCGAAGATGCGCAAAATAATTCATTAAACGACACGACGTTATCTGTGATTTCATAAATTAATAACACGCTCGAACCTTATCCTCCATTGAACGGAAACAAGTCGACCACGTACCTTTTTACATTCGCCTAACCTTAATAGTATTACAACATCCGATATTTATAAATGCAAGAAAAAACAAAAAGAAAGATCCGTTCATTCTAGTTTAAATATTTATTATCGAAGGTCAACATAATATATAAAAATAATATAACGAATTGCCGCGATCGACGATTAGACGTGGCGTACGCGTAGTAACGGCACGTACTCAAGGATCGTATCAAATGATCGAACTTTGCGCATCTTCCTGTATTCCGTTCGACATGCAAGTTTTAATTGATCGATGCGCTAGATCCAGGGAACTGACCTGGAAGCCACGGAGGGAGTATCGCGTGTTACGGACGGGTCAGGACTATGTGCCTGAAACATTGTTGATGGAGTAGCCGGATAACTTCCTCCAGGACCACCCTGACGACTACCTCCGACGCCAACGACTGACGAGTGCGATGGTGTCTGGCCTCCGCCTCCTGGACCACCCCACCCTGGTACATGAGTTACCAGGACAGGTTTCACGTACCCATTGTTCGTCGTCGGTTGGCTTTCTGTAAACAAGATATTTATAAAATAAATTACCATACGAATATAAAAATGAGGGACAGTGGAATTTTCCCGCGTGACCATGCAATGTACGAGTACCTGACGAGCAATGTTACATTTTATTGGAGTGTTTCGACATTCTACGTGTGTTAAAACATACAAATAAAGCACGCTAAAGTGTTGATAATTAATAATACGAGTGTACAAGAAAATGAATAAAGTTGATAGAAGATCGATTGATGGGACATCGCATGAAATTCTAGAAAAGTGGAGCGACAATAAATGTAGAAAGTGCACGTACCTGAGAAAGGTGTATAATATTTGGAAAAAGCTTGATCTTTCGACAGGTCAGGGTAAAGATACAATAAGTGCTGCAAATCGGATACTCGGTCAGCCAGACTTCGAATTGTAAAATCCTTACTCGTGAACGGTTGTAACATGAAGACCTCCGTTTGTTCTGCAAAGTTAACGTCAAAATTGACATTGAGTAGATATAACTACAGTGGAGGTAAAATGCAGATGGATTCACGAGAACATTATGAAATAAGGTCTCACCTCCAACCCACGCGATAGTCACGCCACCAAGTTCAGAATCTGAGAATCGCATTAAAAAGGTTCCGGATGCACAATTTGCAAGCATCTCTTCGGCTTGTTTTTTCCTAATAAAGCCCAGAATATAACCGTCGATCCAGGGACCCCTCAAGTGCTCTCTCGTCAGTTTCATCACAGCATAAAACCATTCCCAAAACGTGAAATTTCTTTCTGGCAAAGGCTCCTTGCAGAATTGTGCCCAACTTAACAGCAACCCAGCGTAGTCTTGCCCTGCAGTATTTCCACCGCGAAAGGCTTTTTCCGCAAGAAAGCGTAGGTTGTCTTCCGTTAACGATCGACCCGTTGCTGATCTGAATTTAACGTTTAACGCCTCCGCTACTTGACCCCAAGGAACTTTGTCAGGCACTGCGAAGGGCACTCTACCAGGTTCAGCAAAAGCATTGTCCCACGTTACAGTGGCCCAAGCGTGAGGTTCTTGATTCCCGTGGACAATTACCACTACCGGTAAACTCAAAGTCCAAACTTGGAACACCAGCTCACCACCACCAACGCTAAACTGTGACTGGAAGAAAAGTGAAAACTTCTCATCCATTACCGACTCCGTTCCCTTCTTTTCTGCTCGTTTTATTTTCTTCAGTTGCATATTACGGAAACTAACGGATAACTGCCGAGTAGCCTAAAATCAAAAAGACACGCACAGACGTATTTTTATAAATTGCGTTTTAGTCAAATAAACGATTTACTGTTTTTTTTTTTTTTTTCTTTCATGTACGTACTTGGTGATACTCCATCGTTCCTGTATTGTTAAGGATCTCGCCACTTGCTTCGCCGCTCTTTGCCATTTTGTCACTTTTAAGAAGGCCATTTGCTTGAGCCTCGCTGATTATGCTAACGTTAACTTGTGGCGGTGTCATGTACACATTTAATTTACTGCCAACCAACAAACGAACGGTGCTGGTAAAGCGAGTATTGGTCTTCATTACCTGGGGTGGTTGTTTTTCGATGATGAAGGTACTAGTAACTAACGAACTAAGGAGCTGTGTTATTTGAGAATTCAAAGTTGGTAAAATGTCTTGCACCCCAGGTGGATCGAGGGCAAGTTTTAGTTTTAAGCGTTCAACTTCTTTAATTTGCTGCCGATTTAGCCAAATCAATTCAGCCAGACTTTCACACCATTCTTGAATAGAATCTAAGTTACTATTAAACGGAGCACCATTGCCAGCCAACTGTTGATCGCGCTTCCATCTGAAAGAGTGCATAACAAATATTTTTAATACGTAAATCCTAATTAATTACCTAAATATATGATGAATTAAAATTGTCATTCGTTATACCTGATAAGTTCGTCATCAAGAACTCTGGATTGTAAATTATTTAGCCTCGTGATAGTGTCTTTCAATTTGTCAGCCAATGTTAAACGTAATTGCATTAAACTAGCCACCTTTTGATTTAGTAATTGTTCTTGAAGTTCTTTCTGCCTGCAATTTTATACTAATTACTAATCTATTAGAGAATTTCTTTTACAGATAGATAAATAATTATATGATCTAGGAAATTCCCTTAGGATGAAAGCATCGAAGTGTTTGTCGAGGCAACAGGGCATTCATACCTTCGAATTTTTTTTTCCAAATCTAAACTTTGTTGACTTTGTGGTTGCGTGGCAAGGTGTTGAAGATGTGCATTTAATTTGGTGCATTCGTGATAGGTTATAGTGAATGCCTCCTGTTCTTGTTCCATTTTACGAAGGTCTTCACCAGTTTCTTGCGTTCTTCGTCGTAATGCTTCCACCTGCTGTGCGATTTCTGCTACTGCATCTCCAACCATAAGTCCAACTCTACCACCAGCCATACTCATAAGCGTACCACTGATATTTTCCACTTGTGCTACTAATTTCATTTCTGTACCAAGACAATGCCTAATTATTCGAAATAAGGTCCCTGGATTTTGACTATATCTTTGCTGTAAACAGGAAAATTAAAATTAAAAATTGAAAGCACAAGTAAAATAATTGATCCTAGTAAATATATTTACGCGAAACATCTTAGCAGCTTCCATCAGCTTCAATTTCGTTAAAAATAGATCTTCCGTGTTCAAGGAGGCAGCCTTCGATTCTAATTCCTGAATAAGTGATCCGACTAAATTTGCTATGTATTGTTCATATTGTGGATTGTCTGGTTCAATATCGGTCCTATAAGACATACAAAATTAGTCTTCCTACTTTCTCATGTTATTCAACTCGCAGTCAATACTTACCACATCTTTTCTTCAATCCAAGAGGACAAAAAGTGCCGGACTTCGATAGGAAAGTGCTCCCCATAAACAGAGCGCACTTGTTGTAACGCATCCTGTGGCAACTGCTGCGCCTTTGCCCATAGTGTCATCGTGAATCGGTTTCAGAGTATTGGTCCTACAAAAAAGTTGAAACACAATTACTACCAAACCATTAATAACAAATGCCAAGTATGTATACTCGCCATCGATGACAAAACCATATTCATTACCATAAATCTCTTTAAAGCATAATTTAAGTAAACGGTAATTAATCAAGCAAGCATTTAACTGAACGACACGATTCACGCTCTCTTTCCACCAAACAACCTGCAATCCGCCAAGTAAACCCATATAATATTAAAAAATCACTTAATCTAACGCCACATGTCACGAAATTCCCAGTGGAGGAAGACAAATAAACCATCCGACAAAGTAAGCAGAGTAACAGGTGCAGCCCATAACCTCTCAACGTGCGATACCCAAACAGACTTCGCTGCCCGAGTTCTTTCCGCCTCCGTTAACCTTCAAATCCCGATAACGCTTTCTGGAAGAATCCGAAGGCAACGCAGGTGCGACGATCATTATTCACCGGGAAATTTGTGAATCCCGTCACTGCAAAACGTGCATTACGTACCTACTGTATAGCAGGAGAAGACACGCGGTATTCAAGATATTCGAAAAATTTCAAATCGACGCCTGCCGTCTAATTTTAAGACTTTTCGCGATCTCCGTGCGCAGCAATCCCGCTCGCCTCGGACTTTCGTATCGATGCTTGCGAAGCACTGAACGCTGAATCGCAAAAAGAAAGACATCGAGATGGATAAATCAGCGGCGCGAGAAAGAGGGTCTCATCGGGCTATCCGTTCTTGTCCGTTCATTCCGTTGGCGCCTGTGGGCGACTTAACCAAACTTATTCCGCGAGGGACATAGCGTAACATGACACGCTACGTGCCTCGCGGAGAGACAGACTGCCCGATAAAGCGGTCTCTCTCATTCTCCGTCTATCCGTCTACTTTCCATTCGCGAGACAAGTCTTTCCGCTTAGCCAATGACGACTCTCCTTTCGGTTCCTATATAGTTCAACGCTGTAAAGTTGCGCGGGACGGGCTGGACTCGGCGGAAAGAATCCCTTCAAGCCTGAGTTCTTGGGAGGCGCCAAAAATCGATCACGTGAACCGACTTCACTTTCCAAACGATACCTAGTGCATTACATACCCCGGTAATCCCCAATACCTCTGCACATACATAACGCGCGACATTCAAAAGAGTCGCGCTTTAATAGCCAGAGTTTATTTCTGTAACTCCTGTTTCCTCAACTGGCGTCAGAACTGACTTTAAAAACAATGGATAAAAGCAGATCGGGTGAACATCTCGTTACGACAGCCCGTTGGCGCCTTGGGACGCGATGTTTGGAATTAAAATGAAATAAATGAAACACGAGATATTAAATATCTCGGGCTAATGAGAGATTCTTCAAGGATGTGATATTTTTCAAGGACCTCGAACGGCCTAAGGATTTAGCAACAGTCCGAGCTACGGATTCGCGGAAAGGCGGCGTTGAACCCCGAGTCGCGACTGTTGTAAGGACGGTGCTAAATCCATCGGAACGTATTGTTCTTCGGAATTGAAGGGTCCGCGAAGAATGCGAAGGGTGACGGGAGCCGCCGCCGACATCGGCAAGTGCGGTTCGCGATCTTCCCTCGACGCCGTATTCGCTGCCTAGTCTATGGCGGACGCCAGGGAGATAAGACCAATCCACCGGAAAGCGAGGTGCGCGATGGATTCGCGGGAGACGTCGAAAAAGTCGAGGCAGCGGGACGGGAACGAAGAAAATGCCAGAATCCCTCGCGACTATATCGCGCCAACCGACAAGAGGGGAAGAAAGCCGCGTGAGTTCGACCAGCAGAGAATCGATCGTAATTTCGAGGTTCGCGTGGATCGCGGCGATTCCGCGACCCTGTCCCAGGGGAATCGACAAGGTCGTAGGAATCGCAGGTTCGCGCGGTTCGACTCACCTCACCGATTCCCCAAAGTCGGCGACTTAACCGCGCGGCACCTTGCCTGATTATCAAAGCGAGTGAAGAAACTCACGCGTGGATCGCGGCGGATCCATCGGAAAGTCCATTCGCGCGAAGCAAGCGGCTTTCCGTAGGACGCCGCGAAGAGCCGACGGTGACGTGCTGCCCCGATAATCCGCTGGTGAACGGAGGGGGCGCGGGATGCGGAGGATCGAAGGGGTGAAGCGAGGATCGACGGTGCCGAGGAGAGGAGGAACGAGCGGAGGTACGTATACCAAGGCATTAGAGAAAATGACAACGTCGATCCTTACCTGGGGCTCCGAAGGCGAGTCGAAGGCGCCCCGAAGACGAGTTCGATCGAGCGATCGGACGACCGTGCGACCGAGCGACCGCTGTGGGCGATAATCGGTCCTGCAAACGCGAGTCCGCTCGCGGCGCGCGGCTCTCCCGTCTCGGTCGACTATGTCCCTCTCTCCTCTGGCATGGACACGGCCCGGACAACGGAGCGCCGCGAACGCGGGTTTCCGAGAATTTGATTCCGTAAATGGCCGCAGCGCAGCGGCGGGGGACGGTCACGTGACCGAGCTGGGTTCTGCGCGTGCGTCCTGGCGAACCTGCGGTCATTCTCACCCGTGGCGACCGGTGGAAGCGGGAACGAGAAGCAACGGCTCGATGGTCGGCCCGGTCCGCCGGGTGGGGGAGGCGAACCGTCGAGGAGCTGATAGGTTATCTTGTGTTCGAGGGTCTCTGTCGTGCGATAGGTAAGAACGAGGGCGAGAGAGATAGACTGGTATCTCGAATCGTAAGGTAAGGGAACGCTTCGGGATTTCTCGCGTCGAGCCGGTTCTGCCGAACATTGCCGAACCTGCGGGTACAGGATCAACGTACGTGCAGATTTCGCACCCGATAATCGCTTATCGGCGATTACGATGAGTCCCTTATCTGGTGATAACGGAAGCCTTGAGATAGGCGACTTTTTATTCCATGTTGGTATAACGATGCATCCCCGATGTTGTATCGTTCTCTTTCTTCGGCATTCGCCCTCGGTGACCGAGACTATATGTACAGCGCACACGGTTACGAAAGTGGCGTAATTGATTTCTTGGCTTATCTATATCGACGGCAGGTTAAATTGTTGAATAAGGAGCACCCTGTGTTCTCTATTTTGAAACGCTGAAAGGGTTTCCGATCGATAAACGACGTGGGACACTGCAAGACAGAAGTCTTAATTGATGGAGGGAATAGGATAGCAAGGGGACAACCGTGGACATTGAACGATGCGTCTTCAAATATACTTTACACGAGACGTGTTCAAACGTACTTTTTATATAATATGAGACATGTATAAAAAATGTATAATGCTTCGCATTTGTATGTTGCTTTATATAAACATAAATATTTTTCTCTGAAAATATACTTAGTAAGTATGTTAAGTTTTAGGAGACCGACATCGTCTTTGATGGCATTTAAGTTTGCGTAAAATGTATACTTCGAAGTATCAAAGGAGGAATAACAAGGGCGGCTGCACCGATTAAGTACGTAATGGTACTGCCGATGCTCCAAAAGGCTAAAATAAGAGAAATTCTTACTAATGAAAATTTATGGTAGCTTTAAAAATCATTATGCAATTTTTTAATTCGTTTGTCTTGTAAGAATGTTAATGATGGTTCGAATGAAAGAAATACGAACCTATGGAAGTAACGATAGGTCCGCAAGCACGAGCTAAGGCACCCAGAGAACGGAAAATACCAGTTATTATTCCTTTTTGATTTTCTGGCCCAGTATGTGTAACTAGGGTCATCATGCAAGTTACGACCATAGCTGTTGCTGAAATAGATTAAACTTTATCGAGTGAGAATTCTTTATGCAGATTTAGAATTTTGTAATATTTCGTAATTTTACTTACAAACTGCAAAGAGGAAGACACCGAGATAGAGCATTAATTTGTCCTTTGCTAACCCTACACAAATGAATGCTGGAATAATTAACCAGAGTCCCTAAAATGCCCATATCTTTCAGTCTTACTATGCGAATTATTTATTAATTATATTAGGAAACCATGAATGATAAATTTATAGAGTATGTTACCAATTCTGCCACAGTTTTGGTTTTATGCGACGGTATTCTTCGCACCCAACTGCCCTGTAATATGGCCATTGTTAATCCAATTCCAAGAAACATCCAGCCTTGTTGCATGCTAGTAAACCCGAAAAAGTGATGGGTCAGGAACGTTAATGTAAATTCTAGTCCACTGTAGATAAATAAGTACAGAAAGTAACATCGTCCCAGGACTCTCAAACTGTGTAATTCTGAAATGAGAATTATTTGAACAATGAATTAATTTAATACTTTTACTTTAATAGTTAATTATTGTTCAATAATAAAATACACTACCATGACTTGTTAAGCCAGAAACGCCGTTAAATTGAAACAAATCCATGGGATTTATGTAAGCAATAGCATCCTGAATTCCACTGGCAAGAGATTTAGCTCGATACTTGAGTGGTAAACTTTCTTCTAAATTATAGGCGATGTAAAGAAGATCGATAATAGAAAGTAAAAGAGCAAAGGAAGCTGGGATTGCAAACCAATAGCCTTCTCGGGATTTGCTTGAGTTCCATGCGAATAATGCCCCGATCATTGGACCCACAACAAACGCAATTGAGAAAGCTATACCTACTAGAGCCTGAAAATTGAAACTGATTATTTTTGGCTCAAGATTGTATAATTAAAGCAATACAACAATTTCTACCATAGCTCGTCCTCTTGTCTTTGAAGACGTGACATCACTGATGATAGCCATGGATAAGTTAATATTGCCTTTGCTAAGGCCACCGATGAATCTTGCCAAGACAAATATAAGAAAATTATGAGAGAGAGCCCACAGAACATAAGAGCTTGTAATGCCTATTAAGCATAGCAACATAACTGGTCGTCTTCCGTAAACATCGGACAGGGCTCCTATAATTGGTGATCCCAAAAATTGCATGAAGGAATATAGTGAGCCAAGGCAACCTATAAAATATAATTAAATTCTGAAATTATTTATAAATTAATTTTGAATACCCATAATCTAACGAACTTACCTCCAAATAAAACTGAATTTACTCTGTCAGGAGCATTGAGGTAAAGTTGTACACGTTGGATTTGTTCAAGAATTAAAGAGTATAGTCCTCTCTTATCATCTAATTGTTTATAATGATCCAAAATTGCTGGTAGTAGTGGTAAAATCATGGTAAATGCTAGTAGATCTAGTAATAATGAAAAAAATACAACTCGAACTGTTTTTGGATTCTCTCCATGTTCAACTTTTTCGCTCTTCAATTCCATGATGATGATACTTTATCACAGTCGTTCGAAAAAATACCTTTCAATTTATTGAATAAATGCAAGCATTGGATCTTGACAGTCTTCAAGTTAGTGGTATCATAATACTGTAGAAGGACAGTCAAAAATATTGATACTGATCAAAGAAAAGCGAATAATCTTCGAGCTCTCATACGTTAACCCACATTTGTTATAATCGTTTCAGTCACATATAAACGAACACTTGTCAGCGATTTAGTGCTTCTATTGCACGCATGGCTGGATTTTAAAATCCATTTGTCCAGGATATAAATTTACTTATATTACAATTTTCATGCTGTTCTCACCAGGAGTTTCATTCTTATCATTACAATGCATACATCTTTGTGGATGTAATTTTTCAATCGTACAAGCAATGTAAATATATATATACCACTCCGAAGTTTACAATTTTCAACAATGATATATCTTCTTTCACAAAATACAGTCGAGCACAAATAATGCCGGTTAGCCGACAACAATCGAAACGGTCAGTGCTATGAAGTGGATCCTACTTAGTTCTGATAATCTGTCACGTTAACTCGCGAACTCGGTGAATCTCCGAGGTGACACGTGACGCGGTCAGCGTCCTAAAAGTGATGAACTTTCTAACCGGAGTAAGGATCCCTCGCATGACGAGACCCGAGAAAGGAAATCGGTTTTTGAAATCAACAGTGAAAGGCTTAACCTATATTCCTGCATTGTGGTGTTTGTCATCGGCTCTCGCGACATTATCGACAGGTCAGTCGATCCCGAAGTCAGCAGAGCAGAGCGCGTTCTCTGCATTAACGATTAATTCCAGATCGTGTCGCTACCTGGCGGCAGCCTCGAGAAGTCCATAGCACATCCGCTGCGCTCGAAGAACGTTACCGACAGAGCGGCGGTTGACGCGACGAGGCGTTTGAATTTTCGAATGCGACGAAGACGCGAGTCTTTCGAAAAAACCGACGTCGTATATCCAGATGAGGTACTCTCGACGAGTTCGACAATTTTGAAGGTGGCCACGCCGGGTTATGCCTCATTATTGTTTTTATTTGCCAGTGAAGCGAAAAATAGCTCAAGCAGGCGCACCCACGAGCATTATGTATGTTCCCGACTTCCGGTGGCGCACGACATGTAGCGTTGTAACCCGCGCGCACACAAGCGCAGCTCCGCAAACGCGCAGACCCACTTCCTCGATGAACAAAGATGTTTTCAAACCCGTCCCGAACTGTAGCGTCGGCTGGAGCGAGCCTGGTAAAGCCGAATAATTTTAAACCGACTATTTTCTTATCACCACTCGAATTTCCCGGTAGTATTGTAAAACAACGTCGTATTTAAATTTCGACGATGCACAGGAAGAGACGATAATTACAGGTTGTATGTTTCGCAGGAAACGTGAGAAATACAAGGATAAGTCCGTTGCTGAACAGATGTTTCCTGCTGGAGGAATATCAGATATTGCATGGGCACTTATAGGTAGAAATTGGACTACAACCGAAACAAAATGTAGGGCTGATCGGCGAGATAAGCGAATCTCTTCTCGGAAATCGGTTAAGAATCGCAGTCGATTATTTGCTATTAAATTGCGCTGGTTTGAGAGTACTCATGCGTGATAAAACGCCACGAAATGTTAGAAATTCGTTTGCCGGATGTCGTTGTGCTTAAATATGCCACAGCAAACTTGTAAATCCATCTGTAATGTAGAATCTTATAAACGGGTGAACGTTCGATAAATGCAACCGTCGTAAACAAAGAACGGAGGTACTGCACTCGTGGAAGAAGTGAACGTTTTCGGTACTGTACAAGCAACACCTGGCTATGTTACCAGGCTGATTACTGCGACCCTGCTTGTACCTTCGTACTTGTTTTCACACGGGGAAATATATGTATAATATTGATCAATATGTATTACGTTTCAAGCGCAATGCAAGATGAATATTTTATTAACTGCTCGTTGAATTTCAGCGAACTGTCCGTGGAAAATATCGTTCCATAGAGGCATTCGTTTTGAAATGTTTCATGTAATCTATACGCGTGCCGCGAAGTTCGGAGACTGTACTCTGCGGAAAATACGGGTAGTAATAACGGTTTCATTAAATGCGTTGTACAATGAAGGTTATATAATGATTTGTGCTCGAGGTACGTCATCGGCACTTGTAGAAACGATTTGTATGTTTGTACGGTCGAGGTAATCGAGTCGGTAGTGTTAATCTACCCTTGCGTAATAATACCGCATTAGATATAACGCACGCATTTATATTGCCAACTTTAAAAAATTACCCTGCTACTTATCGAACGTTCACGATTATAAGAAAATACTGCGGAATGTATTGTACGACCGATGTCATTGTTGCATACGTTTGTTATACATTGTTATTGACGTACTTACGTCCTGAATTTTGTAAATTTTCTACCTTTGCGATTGTATCGTTAATTGCCTCGCTGGGCATGAAAGTGCTTATACGAAACTGCCGTTAAAATGGTGCAGGAATTACTGTACTGGTAATATTTAATTTCCCTTTGTGTACAGTCGCAAAGGTTCTGTAAGGAATTGCGCATGGGGTGCGTCATCGGTACTCGAATAAACGGTTTGTTTGCCTATGAAATCGAAATATTCGGAGGGATAGTTGGGCCCTACGTGTAGAGCAGGTGGTACAAGGCCCATCGGCGATATATCGCGTTTAAAATTTAACCAACCGGCCCAACGCTTGCCATCTGGGCCCTATGGTGCAGAGCCTGTACAGTGTACAGTTGACTCCGAAGTTCCACCTTCATTGTGTACACTGCAGGATTTTACGTCTTCGAATGACGATTTTAAAGGCCCAAGAAAATAACTCCATTACCACGCAAATACTAAGAAAAAAAAAATCACTTGCCCGAAAAAAAAATATATAATATCAACATATATTATTCTCTAGACCATATGTAATTGCAAGAAACAACGATTTTGTTGAGAGGAAAAATTTATGTTGATTTAAGATACTGTCGTTAACTCGATCTGACATTCCCGTGGACTCATTTGATCGCACGATATTGTCATCGCAATGCGTATTTCCTTCAGTCCGCCAATTTTTCTTTTTTTATTTCTCGGTGTATACTTCCATTACATTCATTTAATTCGCTTAAATTTTAAGGCACCCATAAACATTAGGGGATACGAATGATCGGGCCATTTTTTTAAATGGCGCAAAACAATTGTTACTTATATGTGCTAATATTTGTTATTCTTTTTTTTTCCAGATGCAAAGCTGCAAAGCTAAATGTGGGAATAGTGCGTCTTCAGGCTTACGAGGCTTAACTGCGCTTGCACATCGGAGACCGGAATATCGATCAGGAGTAACGCCGAAACGCATTTGATTCCCCCAATATAATCGCAAGGCACGTGGCATGAGATTGCACTTGGTTAGCCGCGTTCGCAAGCGTAGGATCTCGAAAAATTCGTCCTGCAGATCAAGGGAGTAGGTAGAGTTACGAGCCAAGTATTATACATTAGACCGCCACGGGGTGTAAACAAAGAGCTGGGTGTTTCTAGTCGCCAGATCGCGACGAGGCGAGGATTGAAGGAAAAGTGAAGGAAATCCGATATTTCCAAAGTAAACGAGTGAAGGACTTCCGAGTTTTTTATTCCATCCACTGGAGGGAGCATCAGGTTGCGGAGACGCACATTCCCCAGGTGCTCGAAGAGGCCGGAAGGAGCAGGAAAATCCGAAGAGCTTGGGAAGTATATCTGGTGGCTGTGAGTATGTAGACATGTAAATATGTAAATAAAAAGGCACGTCTTTACGGCCTGTTCGCATCGGCACTAATTTTAAGAGAGACGGAAGAACGAAGAAAACCAGTGTACAAATAATGGAAGGCAAGGATTCTTGTTTCCGTTGAGTCGAGGTATCAGTGACAAGAGAAGCGTATCCGAAGTTTCGTGTGCCTTGTCAAAACGATAGATTCTTATCTGCCCGTAGTATGTTTAGATAGGGACTTTTTCCCCCATTACGTGTGAAAAACGGAGCAACGCGATGCAACGTTATTATACGTGACTCTTTATGCATACATTGAGACCTGAGAGTGAGAGATCATTACTCGGTTACTTCTCTGGGAAGTTTAAGAGTCCCTGTTTAATAATACGGAATAACAATGTAACGGAAGAATTAAATAAGCAAGGGGATCGACGGTGAGGAGAGGAAGGTGCGAAAGAGAGGAGCGAAGACGAAGACGCGCGTCAGGTTGCCTGGGCTGCCTCCAGGTGCTCGAAGAAAGGTGGTCGAGGAAGGGAAGGCCCTGGGATTTAGAAAAGTACATTGGCGCCCTGGAAGCGTGTAAATATGCAAATGCACGAGGAGGCGCGTCTTTAGAGCCGGTTCGAATTCTGACGAAGAGGAGTGCCGGAGACGAGAAAAGGGAAACTGCATGACGGAAGTTCAGGACGGCTGGGTTTTCGCGTCATCGGGGACGGGAATATCGATCACGGACAGGCTAGGATTACACAAAGGAACGCGACGTGGCATCGGGAAAAGGTACGCAATCTTTCCTCGGAACGTTCTCCTGGCACATTTATTATTTATTTAAATTATTGCCAATTTTAGGTCTACTCAGGAAGTAGGATGGGGCACTTCGAGACTCGATAAAGAATGCACGTAAAGGTGTATTTGCTTTCCAACGTGGAATTCAATTAGGTATTTTAGTACGTCAAGCTACGTCTATAAAATATTTATCCTTAGGATATTTGAGGTGGTATTCCGCTCTTTGTCAGTTCCATGTAACATCGGCCCCGCGCAAACGTCGTTCCTTTGTCGACCCCTCCATCAGGAAAATTGACTACCCCTACGCGGTATGAGTCATCTCCGCCAGTTGAGCGAAAATTGGTGTAAATGTCGCACAAAGGATCATTTATAAAGTTCCCTGTTATTCTTCGGCACCTCGTCGAGAGGAAGCCGGTGTTTTTAACGCAATCCCAGGCAGACGGAACGAGATTTCATTCGTTTTGCCGCTTTTGTGCTCGCAGGAACTTCCGAAAGGGCGATCCAATTCGGCCGAGAGAAACAGAGGGAGAGGAAGCGGCAAAGAGAGGGGGAGAGAGAGAGAGAGAAAGAGAGCGTCAGGTTGCGAGAGAGCGCCTCGCCCGTTCGAGCTCGCTCCAGGTGCTCGAAGAAAGGTACTCTCGGAAGGAGAAAGGTCCTGGGGGTTTGGAGAAGTACATTGGCGCCCTAGGAGCGGGCAAATATGCAAATGCAGGAGGAGGCGCGTCCTTCCAGCCGGTCCCGTTCGAATCGCGAAGAAAGGGAGAGACTGGATGACGGAAGTCGAGGACGGAGGCCCGTCGAGAAAAGAAGAGAGAGAGAGACAGACAGAGGGCAAAGGGAAAGGCGAAGGACCAAGACCAAGAGGGGAACAAGAGACCAGGGTAAGAGTAGACTCAGACCGGAATATAAGAGGAGAGAAAGAGAGCTCAGGGCGCCGATAACCGCGGGGACAACGAACCTCGGCCGCTGGGCGAAAGGAAATTTGGACGTTTCTCGGAATCCGCAGGACTACCTCGCAGGGATAGGAAATAATCCCGCGGACAATGGGACAAAGGGAATTTTCGACGGTGCCAGGACCGGCTGCTCGGCCCGGTACAAAGTCTCTCGCTCGTGGGCCTCTACCTACGGCAGGGAACGAGAGGGAGCGGACGCGCCGAGGGACGCACCGCGGTGGACGCGGCGGAAAGAGAAGGA